TAAAGCACTTTGGTCATTTCTTTTGTCCGTGGCTTTATTTTTTGTTTAGAGTTTTCAAGCCACCATAGCTGCAAAGGTACGACGTATAGCCATTTATATGCATGTAAATCTTGATCCTCACTGCGGTCAACCGTCGGTGCAGGTACATCTAAGCTCGGCTTGAATCTTGGTACACACACACACACACACACATTATAATAGTACGTATGCGGTCAAAAGGCAAATGGCCCGAAAATTATAACAAATAGATACCAGCGTTCAGAGCCGGTCTAGTTTTTATATTTGGCCCCGGGACGACGATGTCTCGAAGTCAAAGAGAGAGAGAGACGTGAGGATAGTGAGGAAGACGAGGAAGGCAGCGGCGACATGATGAAGAGGTTGGCGTGCGAAATTCCGTTCCGGCGGCGGCGTCTGCGAATTGCGGTTCGTCCGGTTTGAGTAATCGTCGTCATCGCCGTCGTCTCCGGACCTAAATCGGACAAATCGTTTTGCACCCGATCGTCGGACGTTTGTCTCGACCCATTTGTAAATCTTCCCCTTAGAGTATTATTTTTGCTCTCTCTCTCTCTCTCTCTCTCTCTCTATTTGTTATATATCCCTCGCGCGAATGTGTTACGTCGAGATTGTCGCGGAAACACACACAAATGCGGTGCTTTACGGTCACATAACCAAAATAATAATAATAACGCAACTGCCGTATAAATAATAACAATAAAGTATTTTTCATGTTTTGGCTGGCACGGATGTACGAAAAAATCGACAGGCGGTGCGTAATATATTATAATAAAACGGGTTACTATTCCTCCTTCCGCAAATAAAACGGAAGATTCGTTTGGAGGGTGCGACGACTGTCGAGTCGTCAAATAATTTAATAATACCATATACCTACCTGCGTAATATGTTATAACACTTTAAATTTCTAAACAATATTATATGCTATCGCGACTGTCGTTTACTTACAAAGTTTGTCATGTTTAGTTGCGTGTGCAGTCCCGTGTGAGACGTGATAAAAAAAAAGAAAATGATATAATATAAGAAAACACTCGCACAAACCCCGTCAAGGAAAACAAATTAAACTTATAAATTATAACAAATATTCGTAGAAAAGCTCACTGAATAACAATATTATCTTGCGTAAAGTCTGCAATCATCGTCATGGCGTTATTATGGATTCGGATGAACGTGCTTTTTAGTTTTTTCGAAGAAATAATACATTTTGATTGCCTATCGAGCGATGCCTGTACAATAATAATGTAGTACCCACAATATTATTATGTGGTTTTTTTTTCGTGCATCCACTCCATGGAGGTAGTATGACACCAGAATTGATTTTTGAAGCTTTGAATTCGTTATCGTTTTGTAAAAAGTTTGGGTTTTTTCATGTAAAAGATATGTTTGAATGTCATCTCAAAAAACGTTATAGTATTATGATACAAAGCCTATATTATAATAATACACCTACATATAGCACATTGTTTCGATATGAATATTTTCAGTTTTTGAATACCTATTATTATAATTATTATAACTTAAAAGTCATATTATTTGCATTTAATGTATACAATAATTATTTCAAGATGTTCTTAGTTTTTATTTTATACGAAATGTCAACAATTTTGAATATTTTGTTGTGCTTAGGTATAATAATTATTTGATGCATTCGAATTCGTGAAAAAATTAAACATTAATACTAGTAGAGAGTAGTACCTAAATAATATCTATGGTTTCAGGAAAAAATATTAAAACTATTATCACGTATTATGAAGTGAGTATAGGAAAAACGTTTTTTACATTCTGTGCATATTTAAGAGAAAATTAAAATGCATGATGTATAATATGTATTATTTCTTAAGAAAAAAAAATGGGTCATAGTAATTTAAAATTTATTTTAAGCTAGATATTTTGTAGTTGGAATATGTAAATTTTCAAGAACTCATGACATTTGTTATATTATTGTTTAGTATGTTAACCGCAAAGTAAGTGAAATTAGAAAGGTTAATGCCATATAGGCACCACTGTCGTTATTTTTGTGTGTTTTATCATTAAATTATGTTTTTATTTGGTTATGTGTTTGTCTATTACGCTTGTATACGCGAAAGTATAGAAAATGTCATTATTTTTCATTTTGATTTCACTTATCACTTAATATTATATTACATTATAATAATTTTGAATTACCAGTTTACAACACGTTTCTAAACTTCAACTGACCTTTATAAAATATTTTGAATGAGAAGAGTGTGTGCATAATAATAATATTATCAACTTTTTTGAATCGATACACAATACTATCTGTATAATTAATAGCAAATATGTTATCTCTCATCTACTCCTAAATGAAGTTTACTTTAAAATTAATTTTTGTAAATCTAACATTCAATTAGATTCACACATTTTTCTGTACATTTTATAACTGTTTTGAAGTTAGCTAAATGAAAATAATATGAGAAAAAAGAAACAGTTGATTGTTTCCTTAATTTTGTCACTTTCGAATCATAGGTTAGTCATATTGAATTTGAGTTTTTTTTCTTGAAATAATGAGTACCTTTCCAACTCCTTTTAATATTTTTATCGATTATTATAGATACATTTTAGAAGGTAGCCGCATGTTATACCATATTATAGTGTATTAGTGTTGGCGTAATTGTGACAGAGACATCTTAAGAGCTTAACACTTTAAAGTTGTAAGGTATTTTTTATGTGTATCTACCACTCTACTTATACCTTACACACTCAAAGAGGATTAAAACAGGCGTCGTATTGGTGAAGTAATTAAGTTCTATCCAAAAGAAGCGATCAGATGGTCTCTAGAGGGGGTGAGTGAGATAGAGTGAGGGAGTTGTGATAATCCATTTTGCTTGGTCGAATTTTAGAGCTTTCAATCGAATCCATTCGCTTCATTAACGTTTGACAACCAATTCGTATTTTAAATAAACATATGCTTCGAAATTTAAATTGAGTACTATTTGATTTACTAATGGAAAACATTTTAAAATAATAATTTATTTCTCAATAATTCCTGAGCTTGGTTTTTGAATTTCACCATTGATCAGCTTTATTATTTCTACAGAAAACACCTCTTAATACTTATTTGATAATAATTAATAGAATAAAAAGAATCTGATAATATTTATTGAATATTATAACTTTGATTTTGTCATAATATTATTCAAAATATAAAGAATATTTAATAATGTGGGTATTACGTATTTTGTTTTAGAAAACCAATTTATTGTTTTTCACAGTTAATTTATGGTTTATTAACGTTTAATTAATATACATTGACATGGTTAATAAATAATACATTAGAAAGCATGAACATTAGTATATATTTCAAGAAAATTAAAATATATTAATAATTGGTATATTTTCAAACTTAAGAAATATTAAATTAGTATTAATAGAGTACCTAATATAGTATAACACCGGAATACATTGACTATACCTATGTGTGTTATGAACGCCTTTATTCGTGTCAGTGGAAACTGGAAATTCTTACCTATTGACGGTGAAAAAAATAATTTAGAAAAAATTGTGCAACCGAATGCTAACTATATAAAAGAATCAGAAAAATCGTTTTCCCATTACGAATTCAATAATAATATATTATAATTGTAAAGAAATTTTAAATTTTTGTGATTTTTAAAATGGGACGAATGGCTTGTGGCATATTCATATTAACTTTTTAATATTTTGAAAGTTAACTCGATTTCTTGGAAAATTGCTAAAATGTTCTGAATAAAGTATGTATTATCTGTGTCAAATTTCTGATCCTTATAAATATGAAAAAATTGAATGACCTACAAAACTAGAAAATTATACATAAATATTTGAGGAATCAATATCAATATTAGTTATATATCATATCAGCTTGGAATAAAAAATAAATAATAACAATTTACAGAATGATTTAACTATTTCAATTTCAGCGTCATAAACATGGATGTTAAATAAATTATTGCATAGATAAAATAAACTGCAATAATATTTTCGATTTGACAAAGAAAAATATATTTTTTTAAACAAACGAATAATAGAGATAAATTAAATAAAGAAACGTGATAAATTATTTATTATTATTATAAATGATAAATTGTAATAAAAGGAATTGAATTTTGTTTTATTTTATTTTATTAGTAGTTAGGTACGTTGTGCATGCACACATATCCAATTGGACTTGAATTAAATTTAAATTTTATAAAAATGAATTGCCTTTTATTCACGTCATATTGGTTTTTTTTTATAGTAACGAATGTTGATAAATTCATTATTATTATTTGAAACATTTAAATTTAATTAAAGACACGTTTGAATGAAATTGTGGCTCAAGTTTTCAAAGTTGTCTTGTGCTATTTAGTGAACACTATAATTTTTATTAATTTAAAAAAAAACTTAAAACATTTTTTAATAATATTAGTTTTTACGATATTTGATAAATATTCATCTAAACACACCCATGTATAATCAAATTATACGAACATAAATTATGTAATGACTAAATTAACATACTTTACATTCAATGATTAATTAACAATAATATTATACTAATATATACCTACTAAAGCTATTTCATTAGTATAATAACTAATTTGTATAATACCTCTACACATTGATGTATTACCGATGAATTTGGCTATAGACTTTAATGATTTTTTGTAATTTATTATAAATGTCAATAATATCTATAACAATCTAATAAAATAATAATAATGGAGAATTAGTAACATTTAAGATTAATAACAATCAAAAATGTAATTGGATAGAAAAATTAAATACAACGTCGTTTTCATTCTAACGATTTATTTACAATCGAGAATATTGTCCGGGAAAGTAATAAACAAATTGATGACATCACACGAGAGTGTTTTGTACTATGTGCGTTATGTACTTATGCAAATCTTTAGTTTAATTTATGATCTGTGATACCGTACTCTCTTGGGTATCGTTTGTCATGGTAAAATATAGTACCTATAACGAAATGTTTTTTAATTACGTTTCAGGTTCAGCACTTATGCAGATCGTTGAGGTTTACAAGGAAATCCAATCACAGCAGCTAAACATCGTAAGTTTAAAACACTCAAATTAGTTTATATAATATATTATATAGAAAAAAGTTTATAAATTCCTTTTTCTGTTTTTAATCAAACGATAATTTCTAAATTGTTTTACTTGAAACTAAGCACACCCATATAGTTTAACTATTAAATAACTACATATATTTTGTATTTGGAAAAAGTAAATTAAACCGAGAGTAATTGTAAAATAGGTACACGAATTTTTTATATTGTTGAGGTCAGATAATAGTTATATAATTTAATTTTACTAGCTTTCAGCAAAATAGATAAATTAAAATATACAGATTTTAATACCTTAATAGCCTTTTTAGTGACTGCAAAATGTACATGTCAAAAAATATGAGAATGTCGAGAGGAATGACTACGATAGTAATCAAAAAAGGAAATTAGTATCCTACTTCGATGACCTGTTAATATAAACTTTTATTATGAATAATTGATTAGTTTTACATCCGTCCCTTAATTAATATTTCATCACGAACCGAAGTCAGAAAAATTACATTGAATTCTGTAATAAAATGTAAACAGCGGTATACAAATGAAAAAAAAATGTAATCTAAAAAAAAATAAAATGTAGAAGTATAATGTATATTCAATATCCTCGGATGGTTGCATTATTTATCTAAGGAAGAACTGTAATAATGTGGCTTATAATCTATATATTATTATAATATTATGCAGTTGTTTTTATAATATTTAATTAAAATTCAATAAAACTTTTCCGATAACGAACAAACATGTGATGCGTATTAATACTGTTTTTTTTTTCATTCATTTTGAAAATATATTTATCGAGCCGTAGCAAAAAAACGTTTCCATAAAGCTATATTATATTATTATGTAAATTATTCGGTCTATTCATACCATGTGCCGACGACGTTTAAATCTTGCGCATGTGAATTCGATTATAATATCTACAAATATAATATATTAAAATACCTCTGTATCTTTATTTTTTTTCGAAATCCCAAGAATTTCAACAAAAATAGTATCACTTGTATAATATTTACTCACTCGGTCACACTTATGTTGCATACAAATGTTTTATAATAATAGGTAAGTCCGTACATTATTGTCTGATATATATATATATATATATATTATATATATAGTGATGACTATCTTCTGCAATATGATACTCGTTTTTTTTTTTTTTTGTAACAGCAATCTTTGTATACTTTTTCGCCGCAAATGCTCTCAATGAAAATCTAAAACGAATCCAGTGGAGAAGTGTAAAAAAAAAATATGGGAACATCACGATGTAACAATGTATAATAATATAAAGCATTTCGATTTTAGCCTCAGGTTTTGTAAATCGCCCAGCGAGAGAATTATTATAGTCATGCGAGGGTTCTGGCATTTATCCCACTGCTCCCTCTCTCACACACAGACAGACACACAGGCAGACAGACACAGACAGACACACAGACATACACACAGACAGACACACACAAACACCCACAGACTCACAACAGTAATAATTTCAGCCTAACTGCAGATCATAGGCCACCCTCGTTTTCGCGCTCGTCGTTACAGTCATTAACATAATAATATATCCTGTCGTCTCTTCTGTTCGCTCTGTTTTACTCTTTCAGCCGATGTTACAACACTATTGGCCAGCATCGGCGGCGTTGGCGTACTTTGCTGTATTGGAGTTGCAATTCCATTGCCGGTCGGTCACTTAATTTACACACACACACACACACACACACACATTGTTGGGATACCGAATTACGACCTTTGGTTTTTTCGCTATGTTTATTTTGAGTAAAAAAATATTATTTTCAATTCATATGATATTATAGTATGTATAATAATCGTACCCCCGACCGTTATAATAATATGACGTTCCGCGTATTATTATTATAGAGTTTAGGTAGCAGGTGGTATATTTCTATACAACAGAGCAATAGTGTGCGCAATATAATACAGCACTCGCTTTCGTAACATATTTTGCACTTTCTGTTCGGCATAATGTCAACCTACTCCGAGAAACAGGTCTAAATGGACGTAAATCAACAGAATCGATTTCGTATAGGAACTATTAGCGAAAATCGTAGAAAGTTAATACCTAGTATAGGTAGGTATACCAATATTTTGGCTTATTATTAATGGATTATAATTCGTTTTTAATAATGGTCAAAACATTGCCGAAAAGTGTTAACGTCATATTAAATTTAGGCGTACAACTGTTATAAAATATAATAATATGGTATAGGTACCATAAAATGTGATACCTATTATATTGGACTTATTTTGTTACCGCCTACCGTCGTGCAGTCCGTCAATTAAACCGATTTTTACTCATTTTTTAATGTATAAAAATTTTTAGCGCACAATATTATAACATGTAAAATAATTATATGGGTACATTTTATTTATAAAAATGTATAAACTAAAAAGTGTTAAGTTGTTATAACAAGGTGTATACTTGATTTATGTGTACCGTACACGCAACAGCTTAAAATTATATTATTACTATAAAATAAATTACGTCTCATATTTATAAATCCAAATATTTTTACACCTTCAATAATTATAACTTTTGACCTCAAAAATTTAATGGACATGAAATAACGAATTTTATAACCAAAACAAAAAACGAATTTAAGGATGTGTATGACTTAATTGTGTTTATAAAGAGAACTCACAAAATAAGAATGAAACTTTGATGTACCTATACCTACCATAACTGCGTCATGAACACCGTTAAACTTATCATTTAATAAGTGATTAGTGATGGATTTATAAGTACGAACTTAACTTTGAATGTTTGATTTAAGTTTTCGTATACTATGCTAACAATATACAATTTCAAAACAGTAAACAAATGAATTATAAATCAATATCCAAACTTTTCTAATTAATAATTCCGATTGCAGAGTTATGTGCATAGATATATTGTGATTGAGTAGATAATGCTCGTTAAGAATTTTATAAGGTATCATTGAAATCGTAATCCAATCACCCATGAAAAATATTCCGGTAAGCATTATACGTATTTAAGGAGAAGAAATAATTCATGTTTTAACACACAAACGACAAACCTCATACATATTTTACAGGTATATAATATTATAGTTGCGCAAAAGAACTTAGTGCTAAAGACGTAGTAAATCAAATATTTTCTCATTACCTCTACCATTTACTTTAATACCTACTCAATATAGCAGAATAATAATGATTGATGTAATTGCGTTGACTCGTCAAACATGAATGTCGTCCGTCGAAAGTTTTCTTTACTAAAAGAACTTTAGTTATGGCTCTCTCGGTCTTGAGTTATATGAACATAAGTCCGCAGAAAGTAAAAAATCAAACAGTATCTTAATATTTCAGGTTTCTGGTGAGAACCTGGGCACAAATGTTTTCTTGTTTCGAGTATAAACCCTGCAGGTTCGTTGTGATTCCGGTCTTAGACCACCAAACGTGTTTTGGACAGAAAACGTAATTACGAAATTTAAGTTCCGATTTAACCGATACAGCCTTGTGATGTTATGCAATATTATTAGAATGAATTGACACATTGTCAAACTATATATTGCATTTAAAGTCGAAAACGCTTCGCCCATGTTCGATCAACTGTATTTTAATGGTGTATCTCAAGAAAATATGTTTATAAGATTTTTTTACTGTCACATGCACTATAATATAATTACAACTCATTTTAAAATTGATTGAAATATCGCGAGAAAAGTTCGGCTCCAACAGTAGATGTATGATATGACAAAGCCATGTCTCGGTAATGCTCAACATACATTTACCATCTCATCCTCTTGCGCATTATTTAGACGCGTATAAATAATGGATCGCATATTTTGGTAAGATTCTATTGACCGTCGTCGATTTTCTTACAACTGTTTTTTTGGTATTATTTATACATTCATTTAAAACTTTATCTGCTTAAATGTTTACACAATTTCAAAATGATTTTTAATAAGATGAAAATAAATTATTGAAAATAAAAATTGAATTGTTTTTCTTTTCATTGTGCGTTTAAATTATACAGTCTATAAGGTTTAGAACATAATTAAATGGTTAGTAAATGAAAATAAAATTAATAATAAAATAATTAAATAAATGGTTGAGTATTTTATGTCTATTGAAAGGAGAAGATAAAATATTTTCAAATTTTGGACTATTGTTTTCGTTGAAACGCATTCTAATAATATATTGATTTTCCACGAAGATATACAGATACCTCTGTATATATAGGAAACTACTTACGATGCTTTTGGGACTTATTACTGCAGTACATTATTATAATATATCATGTATTTATGTCACATTACTCGTCATATCACCTATAGGTCATATCGTATGATTGGACTTTGGGGGTACGTATCATGTCGAATTTCCGTCGAAAATTGTGTATTATAAAGTATACAAACATATATATATATATATATTTTATAACCGTTGTTCGAACTTCCACGCGGTGAGAAACTTTTATCGATCATACAAAGTTTTTCGATATAATCTATTTGCCATATATATATATATATTATACCTAACGTCACAAGGCTCTGTGGCCACGTGGCGTCGTCGTGGTTTTTATACTTTGAAACGTATAGAAGACTTCGAATGCCGCCATCTCGGCGGCGGAGGCGGTGTTCGGCGTGACGGAGCAGGGGAAAAAATAGTCGTCGAAAGTTTTATTTTTTCAAATTGCCGTCCGACGCTATGCACGTTTTCCATTATTTTTTCTCCATAATGCACTCGCCCAAAAGGAGGATGCGCGTAGTTGTACATGTACATACAGGGCGGTCTTCAGACGTGTTTCGTCGTTAAACTAAAGCGGGAAAACACCGAGTTAGTCCGCCCTGTATATCCGGAAACGATGGCGCTGCGAGGGTAAAAACACAATATGGCAACAGTCTGCGAACCTCGTACATATAATATATTATTAAATTATTATATATATATATATATATGTATTTATAAGCACGGTCGGATTGCACTAAACTTTTCAGATTTCTCTATATCTGCAGTATATGTGTGTGTATGTGTGTGTGTTCTCTCGTCCCTCACTCTCTCTCTTTCTCTGCCCTTGGTCAGTAGATTTCAATTTAATGTGCGATACGCGTCTACTGGTCAAGTTATAGGGAAGCACGATTTTTTTCTCGCAGTCCTTCATCGGGCATCGGTCGTTGTAGTTCAGAAGAGAGACGACGTATCATATTTTAAGAATAGGTGTAATTTAAAAAAAAAAATTGCATCAAAATAAATATTATTTCAATACATTTTCAATGTGATTTACAATCGGTCCCGACGAGTCGGTAAACCACTGTGTTGATCACCAAGAATATATTATATTATATCAAAAAATGGATAAAGCTATGGAAAATCAAAACGGACATTTATCTGCAAATGTATTGTTAAAAAATATATCCGTACTATCTGCAGCTGGTTGCATTAATACTCTACGTCACAGCTAAAATCCTCACATTATAATATTCATGATGATTGAACATTCGAATATTCCATCGTTCTATATAACGTTTATTGCATAAACATATTATTATATCATATTGAACAGTGTTGCTTATTATCTACTCAACGATTGCACGTGGCCAACCGCGAAGTCTTACTAACAAATCACTCGGTTTTGAAATTTCGTGTTCCTTTAGATCAAAATATTTGCATCCAATGAAAAGGCATCTTAGTAATATAAATTGTTATACGATCATGGTTCTTTTTTGGTACTACAATATTAAAATATTATATTTTACAATAATACCGTTGCAGTTTAATAATATGTGCGATTACATAAGAAGTGTAATAAGCATAAAACAATATTTGATATTTCGCTGTTTGGGATAAAAATATTCATTTGAATCACAATATCTCAAGCAATATCTTTCTTTATAAGAAAGGTAAAAATGTAACAGTGTATAAAATTGTTTCAAAACAATATAAAACCTACCCTTTGAATATATTTTCATCATTTGTCAAATGATTAAATTTTGGGGTAGGGTTCTTATTTTACTTTAGACGGTATTATTATATTAGTTTAACAATTAATATTATATTAAATTGTGTTTTATTATTATTTTAGCCCGTGAAAATTACACAACAGAATAAAATATGTAAGTTAGGTGTATTGAACACAACTACATCCTTACTCCCCTATAAACCAATTACCAAACTTTTGCGTATAAAGTTATTAAAATTGTATCAAAGTTTTGACACTAATTTTTTTAATAGGTGATTGATTAAAAAAAAACAAAGAAAACAAAATTAATAATGTTCAATATATCTTGTATTAAATAAATAAAATTCATAGTAATATGATTATAGAACTAATATATATATATATATATTTGTTATATATATATATATATATACACAAATACATAATTATACTAATGTAAATTATTGTGTATTATAATTTAATCAATTATGATTCTACAGATTGTTTCAACAATATTGCAAACACAAACATGCAATTTTCGCATAAAAGATAAAACTAATATTTATTAACCAATCAATCTTCGTAATATACGCTGAAATATAAAAATGAAACCACTCATGTTCATGTATATTGTATTTGTCAATCTAACTATGCCATGAATCTTGGATCAATATTTATTGAACCGTTCCTATTGTGTAATGAATTTTAATGCATCAATAAATAAGTAACAATGTACTATTTGAAATAAAAATCTTATTTAACATCGATATTGTGTACACAATTATATTTCAATAAGCATATTGTACAAATCAAAACAGTAATTTTTTTAGTCATTAATATTAGGTACTTCAAAAATAGTCTAGCAAATCATAAAAAATACACGCTTTACAAATAGTATTTTGGTGATAATTGCTGTACCATAATAATGACAAACGACCAACGACAAACAATACAATATATTACACGGAGATTTGAATTTGAATTTGTATTGTTTTTTTTTTATTAATTTAAGCCATCGGTCACACACTCACACAATACGTTTCGCGTTAATCAAAATTAAATAATATAATGGAAGTAATATGTAAATGTAAAAGGTATTACTGTCACGTAAAATAATATACAAAATTGTAATGTTAAATTGAAAATACACTTATGGTGCATTGTTAGGAGGGTGTAAAAATAATATTTTGCTAGTCATTATATTTTACGGAGCTCATATAAATTAATATTGTTTTGTTTTGTTTTCAGCTGAAAGCGTTTTACGTGGATTTACTAGTGCCGCTAGAGACAAATCTCGAAAAGGATACCAAAGTCGTTCAGGTAAAGGATTATTGTTATTCGCTATAGTGCTACACATATAAATACTGATCAAAAAAAAACTATAGTTACCTACAATGTACATTGTACATGCACGTCAATTATTTTAATAACGTTATGGATGGGTTTTGACTTTTGGGTTATATTACGATGAGCAATTTTTTTGTACAATCGGAAACTCTGTGGACAAAAATGGTTATAATATTAGTATCAGTATTCGGTTAATTCGTTTCCCTCGTCCCTCCTCCTCCGTTCGATCCCTATAATTCATGTGTGTCATTAAAAATAAACGTGGAAAAATGCATATTATAATAATAATGCGTATCTGATATTTAGTACGGAATAACGAATACATGTATAATGTATATTATACACCCGTATAATAATATGTATACAATATTATAATATTATACACTTTTACTACATTACGAGGTGCGTAGAGCAAATAAAATGTCCCTATCCAATAAATAATCCAACCCTTTGGTTAGTTTGGACTGCTGATTAACCCCTTGGTACCATTTTGTTGTTATCTGATGAAATTTAAACGACAGCAACTTTACTTTTATTTTCTATTATTGTTATTATTATCTTTTTATTTTTCAGTCCGAACAAAAACGATTTTTGCAACAGCATAAACAAAGATCCGAAAGTTATAGCAAGGCTGCATCTGCTATGAAAAAGTGTCGTAAAAAGCATAAGGTTGGACCCAAAGCAGGATTGGCCATGGATAAGGAAATCAAGGTAACATTTACCGTATTATCTCATCTGTAATATAATGCAATATATTTGATTTTTACTTACTTATTAAAAACTTTAAACTAGTGTTTTTTTATGGTTATTAAACTACAGTTGTGCACAAATTATTTTTGTCTAAATGGCTATTAAAACCCTTGAGTTACCTTTAGTTGAACTCTTTGTTTTTAATGAATTGGTAAACAAAAAATAGCATTGTAAGTTCTCTACCGACGGAGTTTTAATTATATTTCTCTTGATATTAATGGTCTAATATAATAAAATATGAAAATCTATATAATTTTTTTTATTCTTAGAATTATTTAGTTGAAAAAAAATATCATCATTTTGATACAAGATAATGTTTGACCAAACATCTGTAATAAAATATAGTACACAATAAATGTCGCGGATTCCGATTGGGGGTTGAAGCTTACTTTTTTTTTTATGTAAAATGTGTACGACGGTCACTATATTATAGTCATATCGATGTACGCATTGGCGAGGTTGAACTATGATTATTCAAATATATTATTGCCGAGTTTTTATTTGTTTGGCACCGTAAAGCCCAAATGTGTCGGGAGATAAAAATTATTACCAGCCCATTGAAGATGCTCATTGTTTGAAAAGTACACACTTCGTTTTATAAAATATCAGGGACTTTGCTATGCAAAAATATCATACAACGTGCAAAATGTTTTGTTTGTAACGGATTTACATAAACAAAACAAAATCAAATCCTCTGTATAAAACCTCTGAATAGTACCTACTCGTCGTTATTATTTTTGATAAACATTATGACAATGGGTTTTAATCTTTTTTTTTTGTGTACAGACTATGCAAATCCTAGAAGAAGAAAAATCTAAATTGGATAACTTTTGTGAACAAAGTTTGAAAAATGTTAGTATCATTGTGTGGTAAAATGTTTAAACTATATCTACAACAATCAAAGAATGTATGTTATAATACTGTGTACTTTTTATTTATAAGGCCATGACACAGGAGAGACGTAGATATGGTTTTGTATTGGAAAGGCAGTGTTCGTTGGTTAAACACTGTCTAGCGTATCATACCAACACCCAGTCAATGTACGATGAACATCTTAATGACTGGCTTGACGTGGCTAAGTCTCGAGAACGATTACCAGAATCTGTGGAAACCATGTTTGCAACAAAACTCCGTGTAAGTTAAAACCTATTTGAAAGAAAAAATGTATTTACTTTAGGTTTCGACTGATTATTTATATTTTCAATGTGAATATTATAGCAAGTAAGCTTCTGGCTGGATGATGACGTTAGTTCTCCAAGAATTGACGATGATAGGATTTCGATGTCATCACAATTGAGAAAAACGAAATCAATGGATGCATCTTGCTTGGATGTTCGAGCCATGAATGATATATCCAGTCCGGTTTTAAATTATCCGCTTTCTAGAGCCAAATCAGATTTCAATTTGAACGCATCATCGCAGTCTCTGAACAGAAGTATTTAACTATATATGATAATACTATTCGACATGATGTGTATAAATATATGTATATTATAATAATATTATCAGGGCGTTCACTGTATGTATGGGAAATGTTGAAATTGGTTCAGTGTTAATAATGTAAATCGTGTTGTACACCTATTCATATTTATTGATCACCTCGGGTATCTGTATGACATAATATATAATATACATATTAATTTAAACACCCCCTAAGCATTGTTTCATCACATCGTGATTCTAAAATTTAAATTATTCCTTGATTAAGGATTCAGTTGTTATTGCTGACTTACGATATTTACATTTATTGATTTTTCACATTGCACACTCAAAAACGTATTAATATTTCAATATTAATTTACAACATTTCATTATGAGTTTCTAATGAAACCATACAAACTAATTTATCATTATGTTACATTGTCGTGCATGTCAAATTTCACTAATAAAACTATTGTCACATTTCAGTGGAGAACGGGTCGAGTCCGGGAAATAATGGATCCAGACCAAAGTCAATGGCAGTAGTTGATAACGGATGGGAATCTCAGGGTGCAAATCTTGTTCAAGCAACGCATGCTTATTTGTCGAGCGGTGACAATCAACTAAGCTTCCATGAAGGAGACACGATCGCTATATCAGGTAAGTTTAATGTTTAAAAACTAATTTTATATAGTTAAAAATGACATGCTTTACCTTTCAGGAGAACGAAACAAAGGATGGCAATTTGGTGAGAATTTACGTACTCAGTGCAGTGGTTGGTTCCCGTTAACATATACCGAACCCGTAATGGACGACTCAGTCTTTTCGTACGTGTGCTTAGTTAAAATGGAAACCATCTGTATTAATAATTAACACATTATTATACTGTCGGTTTTTTTTTTGTGTACAGGGACTCGCCATCTTCATATCGACGAAAGGATTCCATGGGCCAGTCCACCGTCTCGAATCACAACAGAAGTGAATCAGCAACGATCGGCAAACAAAACCGTTATCAAACTACGACACTTACGAGATTCGGCGATTCTTTGTCTCACAGAAATCCATATCCGGTAAGCTATTACTCCCAGTTGATTTCTATCACTTTTCATAACTCTATTGTACTACCAAAGTCCTAAGGACTACTTTTCTGTTGAGATGTTCAGTAAAATATTTATATTTATTCTGGCACCTCTTCGAACTCAATTATTACTACGTTTGAGATGTAGGAATAGTCTATAGGTACTATTTAAATATTTAATGTATTTTAAAATCGCACTACATTATTTTATCTTCTTCGTGGATCTTTTCAACAGTTTATAACGTCACCTCACTTAAAAAATTCTTTCCACAGTAGAAATATTACAACATTTTTCAATGCGTTTAAATTGAAGGAAAATAATATTATAAATATATAGATATTTCTGTATAGATATGTTACCATATTAATATACGCATAACTATTTACCCGGTAACACATTATTACAAAATAATTCATCACTCAATAACTTTTAATAATTATGATAAAATTGTTATTTTCGCGTACAGGCGCGGTCCAGGACGAACAGCAGATCGAATGGTTACGGGATCAACTCCCACGGACCTCCGCCTCCGACCGTTCCTGCTCCAGTAGTGCCTCGCCAGTATGGAGGGCACATACCACCCCCGGTTGCGTTTTTCCCACCACCACCCCAGACATTGCCACCTGCACCCGGAAAACCAATCGCAATCGACAAGAGGACCGGTGGAGTCCACCACCAACACGGTAACGCGAGTTTACACAGTAGCAACGATAGCGGTTTCAGTAACGATCCGCCGCCGGCACCAGAAGTTGACTATTCGGATGACGAAAATGCGAGGTACCTTACAAATTTCATCATTGTTAATCATATTGTTTTATCGTAGTTATTGCAACCATAACATTAGTGTATCGCTTAACATTATCACATGCATGAAACTTAGCGTAGTGGCTGTCGATATAAAATCTAATGAAAAAAAACAAAACCATAGAAATATGCTATTATAATAATTTTATTTATAAGTAAAAAAGCATGAACATATATAACATAATTTCTACTGTAAAAACATTTGATGGAACATTAAACAAAACATTCACTGATCTACTTGATACTTGATAAAATAAAGTTCAAAAAAAAGTGATGATTGATAAAATAAACCCCAAGAAGTCACTCTAATGTAAATAGTACCTTATAGTAGGTTTCTAGTCATAATGTTCCTCGTCATATTATTAGGTTGAACTAATTATTGTCGAAAACATCGCATATAATATAGGTAATATTAATTGTTGTAATATTATTTCATGTAATAGGGAATATCGACGTACTGTAGAACAGTATGATTATGTTCATGGTATAAATAGCTTAAAATGAACCTTTATATTTTGAAAATTGCATTGTGTATAAAAAAATAATGGTAATGGTAAAAAATTAAATCTCTACGAATTACGATTAACATTCTAAAATTATAACAAAAAAACTATTTTTTTATTTTAGTTTTATGTTTAATGTAATCATTTATCTTTCTACACTCATCTTTTTGAAATTGACATATTTTTCAATAGTTTTTCTAAGTTTTAGTTTACATTGCATACATATGATTAACCGATTAACAATAATAATATTGCATGATATTTACAACGTTTAACGAAATACCCAGTCCAACGTCTAACGAAATACCCAGTCCAACGTCTCTACACGCAAGTATAGTTGATACTAAATGATATATATATAACTATTTTCTCGGTATTTAATTTCCATCTGATATTAAAATAAATTTAGCACTTTTGAAATTTAAATCAAATCCAATGTCATTCAAGCTGTTCGGCGCTTATGTTTAGAGCTTATTTTAAAGCTGTTTAGAACACATTTTCTCGTGAATATTAGGTAGACGCGAACCGCGATGATAACCTAATTTCCACATATTAATATAATATTATCGCTTTATGCAATTGTACTTAAACCCAGTAATAATATTATACACTCGGTTCGTGCTTTTGTATTCCTCGAGACGATTTTACAATAATCGAGATTGTGAATAAGTCCACTTGGATGAATAGTAATAAACGAGAATAATATGCGTTCGTTACCAGTTACCGGCCGACGGCGTTTGTATAATTTCATAAACAGCTGTATAATCAATTATCATATAAGCTACCGGTACCGTATGGAGAACATCGTCATAGTAGTGTACCGCGACCAAAAGAAACCGTACCAGCTGTTTTTAATCGTCTTTAATCGGCCAATTAAATGTATGCTAACCGAGGACAACTTGCGGGCTTCACGCGGGATGGTTCAACAATTAACAAATAAACATAATATAGACAACAATATAGGACGAATAAAGAATAAAAAAAATAATCAATAATAGATTTAACAATTAATTATAATATGCATACTATAATAAGTTATTGTAATGATGACAATAACAAAAATTAACCCGCACGTGTGGTTGGTGAAGGTGCTTCTAATATAATATTATGTCATATCTTACACGAGTATACGTCTCGGGCTCGTAGCTAGCTGGTACCTATATAATATGTAACCGGGTGGTACCTACCAAAGTAACCATGGTCAAGGGACATGTTCACCCGCGGTGCTTGTGCTACGCAGCTGAGGTGCGGAAGTGATGGTGTTGGTTGTGGTGTCGGTGTTACTCATATAAGTGCGTGTTAATAATGTAACCGAGTATGATGTTTGTGAACCAGAACGATCAAAGATCCGAAGAAAGAAGCGCGTTCCAAACAAGCAGCGTCTTACAGCAGGTCACCCGAAGAGGACCGTGGTTACCATCGTCCAGGTCATCATCACAGCCAGACGTTGACGATGACGACGGGCGGCCGACAGTCAACTGGAACGATGAAGTCGTCGTACAACGGTGGCGGCGGTGCCATGAACACTGGCAGGCGGAACACCGGCACGTCGTCCATGCGGCAGAGCACAAGCGTTGGACACCTGTCGTCGTTGGGCGGCGGTGACGGTAACACGCTGTCCAGGCAGGTAAATTCTGCGTATGGTAACGAAGACGACGACGGGAGCACCATGCAGGGCAAGAAGATCAAGAGGACAAAGTCCATGTGGAAGTTCAAGAAGTCTGGCTCGAGCGACGAAGTATTGACCGGCATGTCCATGTGGAAGCACAGATCACTGGTGGACGTGAACGCCGCGGAGGCGGAAGAGCAACAGCAACAGCAGCAGCAACAGCAACAGCACAACAACAACAATTACAACAACAAGTCGTCGACGGGTACACCGGTAACCAGCAAGAAGTTTACGGTAACGTGCCGGGACATCGATATAGCCGCGGACGACGACGATAGTCAGACGATAATGAACGGCGGCGTGGGCGGCGGGTCGTCAACGGTGCGTCGGATGACGTACGACAACCGTAACCAGCAGCCGAAGCAACAGCAACCACTGCAGCAGCATCGGAGCAGGAGATCGTCCTCGTCGAGTTTCGGCGGAGGTGACGACTCCGAGTCGTGCATCGTGGTGGACGATCACTTGAAGGACGTTAGATCAGCACCGCCGGCTCCCGCCAGTCTGTTGCCCAGGACCCGATTGATCAAGCAGACGGCCGGGAAAGACGGTCAAGCAGGGAACGGAATGCAGGCATCACACCACCACCACCACCCCCACAACCAGCAGCCGACCACCATGATGATGATGATGCCTCCACCTCCACCACCGCCTCCGGCAGTCAGGACCGCGACCGCGGACGATGGATATGCGCCACACGACTCGGACGCGGACGTCCGGTTTGAGAGTTCTAAACTGCAGACGTTCAAGTATATCAATGCGACTCACAACGACGGCTGGTACGACTCGTGGGGAGAGAAGCGAAAGAAATAGGACGCCTAAGGTAAAACCAAAACCTTCGTACGACTTATTGGCGTATAAATCTACGTATTATAAATTATAATCATCTGTATATAAATAAAATGCCATGTTTACATAGGTACCATATCATATACCCACGAAGATGTGCACTTCAAATTCATTTTTTTTAATTTTGCATTTTAAAGAGGGACTCTTGTCGTAGAGATTTGTTTGTTGACGAAAAACGAATATTTTTTTTGTAGGTATCTGTAACTGTAATACGTATACGGTTGCCATTGCAAGTTGCAGAAAACAAAATAGTTATTATGATTGGATATAATTGTTGACTTATTTTCATATTCGGTCAATACCAGTCAAATTAATGTGTTCAAAATTATGTGTATACATTTAACGGAGCTTAATAGAGGGTAAAACCACTGGCATTATTTAATTAACTATTACGGGAAATGCACGATCAGCTAAAATTATTAATAAATATATCTACTATTCAAAATCAAAGGCCTAAAACGGGCGATCCTCTTGCTAATCCAAAATGTTCGTCAATATAATATAGATTCAACAAGTTCTTTTTTATTATTTACTTTCTACTTTACAACAAAGACTTTCAATAACGATTGAATATAGTATACATTTTTTGTATTTATTTCTTTGCCTTCGGTATAAGAAAAAAATACATAGTTAACATGATTGGACATAATATTGTACACCTGTATGTTATATTCGGGAAAAATAACCCAAATAACTGCGTTATAAATCTGTGCAGCTTACCTTTAACGGAGTCTTAGAAGGGATTACATCCACGAATAGGATCAGATTTAAAATTATAATTATTGTATATTAATTACCTACGAAACCGGCAATTGTACTTAAACGTCAAACTTTTAGTCGTCGACATAATATCACACCGCAAGGCTACACGTCAATAGGCCAAGCATACAACAGAACATGCCTCACAGTACTATTATTTTATTTTTAATGAGATTCTAACACAAAAATCATTATATAAAAAAACATTATTATTATTATTGATTTAAACTCCGGGATTCGGGTCTGTGATAATACGGTTCACAAATAATCTTTTCCGGGATTATACGGTTTGAGATCTTACGGTCCGTGTAAGTATGGTCCAATCATATAATGCATTCCGAAATTGAACGGTCCATGCGATTATTTTTCGAGATTTTACGAGCTTCCGGAACGGATATATTATTAGAACTGTCATTCGTTTCAATAAAATTCCGAGAAACAGCCGAGTTAGCCATGTTCAAACAGTTCACTCTAGATGTTGTTTTTGGATATAATCGTCAAAATATAGTTTCAAAATCAAATTGTATAAACATGAAATTATCAAAAGTCATTGTCGTTCATATTGAACGACAAACAGCGATAAGATAGGTGATAATATATGACCCAGGTGCCAAGTCCAACTTTTGTTCACATTCAGTGAATCAAGGATGAATTTTAGAATCCAAAATGATCATCTTTAGAAAATGTTAGTTTTTGTTTATAAATAGTTTTATCATGTTTTTGTAATTTGAGATAGCATAATATATTTTGTTTTTCTTCTACGCAAAATCATTATTTTAATATTTTCTTTATTTACTCAGTCATTTGGGTAATTTTAATCAAATACCACATATCTCGATCGACTTATCTACTTATTTTTTTTCGTCACTAGTTTCCACTAATATTTTATATTAGGAATATTTTTATAATAATTCATAAAATTATCCGTTCACCCATCTTTTTTTTTGTAGAAAAGTTGTCGGATTGTCAGTTTTTTTAGACCTTGACTATACAATTGATATTTTTATGTTTATGTACATACTATCATCTAGGGAGAGGATAATATATAGAAGGAATTTATTTATTTAATTTTTTTTATATATACATTATTCGACAACGGACAGATCTATAAAATTATTACTAGGTAGGTACCTACCTATACTATTATTTATTGGGTTGTTTATCATCGTTTACATTAACAACCACAAGACGTCGTAAATTTGTACAGTCGAATTACTATTTCTATAGTCGACGTTGGTGTTGGCGGAGAAGAGTTTGTAAACAAATGGGCTTTATAATTCAGTTAAGGTGCGTCTCGTATACAACAGATGATGTAGTTCTACGCTAGTGTCTATTCACTAGTAAGTATACAGTGGCAAGAGACCAGACGGGCCTATTTTATCCGATATAGATATTAGATTCTGACTTACGATCAAACAGCGAACTTTAAAGCAATTACTGTTATCAATTAAGACTTAGAGGGCGAAGTAAACATTTTATGAGTTTCAGTATGATAGTAAAAGTAGTACCTATAACAGTGCTAGTACCTATAGTAGTAGTGTTAGTACAATAGTACCTAGTAGTGGTGTTAGTACCAAGTGGTAGTGTTAGTAGCAAGTAGTTTGTGTTAGTACCTAATTAGTATAGTAGACAGTAGTAGTAGTACGTAGGTAGACTAGTATAGCATTACCAACTGTTAGTATTATTGTATGTTATAATAATGATAATACTACGCCCAATATTTATTCAGTGAGCATAATGGACTGTTTTATTCGTTGTTTTCGTTTTTATTTTTTTATTTAAACTGACATCGAGCTACGAGAGCTGTTCTATTGATAATAAAAAAACGCATTATGCCGTTTCAAGTTATTTTGTTTTGTTTTGGTACATTTGAACGGGACAAAGTGGTCCGCAAATAAAACTATACAATAACAGCGTTGTAAAAACAATGAAAAATTGCGTAATAGTATTTTAAACGTTAAAACCTATTAAAACCATTAAGTGTAATTTTTTTACGGTTTCTTTCTTATATTATGCTGTATGGTGAACTGTATCATTGAAATGAAAATCAATATATTATTTTAATGGTTGATATATGTATACATCGTACATGACACACGACAATAGTTTGTTGTTCTTAGAAAGTATTTGCTTTTTATGTTTAAACTTTAGATGTAAATAAAGTATATTATAATATATACGTGTATAAGTACAAGTTAACAAAAACAAAACTACATTCAAGATAAAAAAAAACTCTTCAACGAAACAAAATTCTATAGTTATATACGAACATAACATATACAATATACATATATGACTTTCAAATGCACATTTTGAACATGAATAATATATTTAATTTCATTGAATTTAGAATTTTTAATCTGAGTATTAAGTAACGTCAATGCTTTGAAATGAAAAAAAAAATACATATTATACCTACTTTCAATTATTTTCGATCCTAAATTATTCCTCTCGCGGTCAACAAATCACAATTTGCATTGTACGTTTGTACCTATATATTTTATTATATTATTATACCTTTACTATTCGCATTATGTGCATATCGAAGTAACTTTATATACACTATAGCTGGGAATATTATTGATAATAAAATGAGATGGGTTCCGGTATGTCCAGTGAAGGATTAGTATAATGAGGTATTAGGTAGACATGTGATAGTTAAATATACGTCCTGAAGAAAGCCGAGGAGAGGTAGGCCATTAGGCCAAAGAAAAAATGACTATCAAAGGTCTCGGTGGCGGGTCCAGGGGAGGTCAAAGAGGGAATCCACTCCCCTCTTCGTAAACACCATAGTTGAGGGTTTCATATTACTTTACTCTATTTACATGATAAATTGTAATAGTTAGTGCCTAGTTATGTACCTATTCAGTTTAGTGAAGTTATTAAACTTAAATGGCATTATTAAATATCAGTACCAATTATAATAATAATTTATAGTATTAAAATTGTAGAACTGGTGTCGTAAATTGTTTTGTACTTCCCCGCTGCCCCCCCCCCCCCCCCCCCCAAAAAAATTGCCTTGAATCCACCTATGACAGGTCTTGCATTTAAAAGGACGTGGAGGCACGTGGAAGGGATATATATATTGTATAGATACGTAGATACGACCCGATTTATGTGTACAGAAAGAGGTGTATGAATTAAATGCGTTATGATGGGACAAAGACGAAAAAGAAGAAACAGGTGTTTATTAATTTGGCAAACTGCCGTGTAGTGATGTATTTATTCATCATGCACAAGCCACTGCGGGTGCTATACCTATAATTTAACATTATATTATGTTGGATATTATTATGTACTGTGTTTCGATTTTATTGAAATATAATATAAATATATATTTATAGTGACTTATAACATAATCGGTCTGCAATTAATTAATACATGACGTCTCAAATAAATAATAAGTACCTAATGATTACAATATTTTAATTTCAGGACGAACGTGTTTGCGACGATCAAACTGCGCAAAACCAACACCAATGACCGGTCAGCGCCGAAGATCATATAATATAACAATATTATTCGTCGCTAACCGAAAAGATCAATCATAAAAAAATATTATATGCCAGCTAATGCATAATATTTTTCTACATTTTTTTCTACAAATTACGTTATCAGCTTAAGTGAACAATTTTCTTCAAAATATTTTATCATAACATTATGTACTATTATTATATTATTACAGGTAGTTAGTCGTTTTTACATACCAGAAAAAAAAACACTGTATATACACTCGATATATGCAGGCCGAACATTGCTCAACTAATCTAATAGCGTCCGAACTCTATGTGTACACGACCGTTGTTGAAAATCTGTACAGTTAGGTTATATAGGTATAATATGCAATAATATATAAGTATTTATCATAACGTATATTATTTAAGGTGAGGTTACGCGATTATAATTTGATTTTTTACTTCTTTTATTTACCAACCAAGCTACCGCCACTGATCGTAAATAATAATATATAATACCATAATATTATGTTATTATACGATACTTTTTTATTTTTCAATTCGCTTTCTTCGGCAGATATATATATATATATTATATATCGTGTGATTACATCATATACATATAATTATTATTTATGTAAATAGAGAGTACATAAATCAATGAAATATCTGTTACAAAGGCTATAGCTATCAATGCATACTTGGACCGCTTATCTAGGTTAATTACTCGTGTCTTAGTGAATACAAATTATAATATACGTGTTGACAAGTTGTTTTAGACAATTATTATTTCTTTAATACAGTAGACAGAGATTTTAAACGAATCAAACGCAATTTTGCAAAGGTGTTCATAATATAGTTATTATTTTTTCAAGTACGGTTTTTTAACTTTTCGTTTGTCTTATAAAATATGTTATATTATATTGCCTATTCTTGTATTCCGTCCGTGTCAAACATTATTGGTTATTACAATATATATGTATGACGCATACGTAGGTAGACAGGCATTAAACTACACAGCTTAAAGTAAATATGTCTCTAAGGCAAATTTTACACGTGCATGTACTATTTATTATTATATAATACTTCAAAAACGAAAGAGTATAATAAGCATAGTAATATGTACTCGATATAATAATATATAATATACCATATATCACGAAAAATTATTACCACTTGTGGACTGTGGTATAATATTATACCTAATATTTTCATATGTAATATTTTGTTGTAATATAGTACCATAATATTATCGGATCGATACATATTATTATATATATTATACACTGCAGCCATATATAGATACGACTCCGATATATACCCATTATAATAATCGTATCCATATGTATCGTAATATTTAATCGCAACATCGCCAAAATCGTTATACCCATTACGCAACTGCAGCACAGGTGCATAATGCAGAGACCCTAGTTATAATAAATCACACGTGTAAAGATTTTAAATTCAATTCAGTATCACCGGTAGGTAGGTAGGTATATACAAAAGACCGAAGGCTCGTAAGTTGTTTTATTTTGTAACTAGTCGTTTACCCAGTTTGATCATAAAATAAGCGTAAAGGACAGTGTCGGATTTATCGCGGGATTGCAGGGGGTGCAATGCACCGAGGCCTGAAGGAGGCTAAGTATATGTTTTAGGGGCCTCGGGTAGCAGGTGCCCTAGGATATTTCAGCTTTATAAAGTGATGGGCCGTTAAAGATATTCAACAATGGTCAAGAAAAAAGTATTTTAGGAAATTAATTGCACCGGTTTATTTAAAAAATGTTATGGACCCGGTTTTGTTCCTAGATATACGTCTTGTGACCACTGGATTTTAGTTTAGTTTTATTGAATATCAAAAACAATATTATACATAATAAACGCATCAAATGACTTATAAAAAGCAATTTTTTTTTGAAGTCCTCCAATTGTGTAGGCGCATCCCGGCCATCCGAGAATTAGATCCGGCACTAAGTCTAAAAATGGGTTTAGTTCATTCAAATGTGTGCGTTACATAATACAACCTCTTAGTCTTACGGTCTATCGTGTAAGTTGGGTAACACCTTGCGCCGATAAGTCTATATTATAATCATTTAAAAAATTAAATTTGTACTATTTTTATGGGTCTTCCCGAACAGATGATAATATTTAAAACATCGTTGTATGCAATTTATTCACTATCCGTGAGTCGCAGCTGTTTTGTTGTGTATCACTATACTTATCAATTTTTTATGTGCGTTTGTTTTTTGTTTTTTATTTTTTGCCTGTAAATATTATATTATTGAATAATCGTTTATGCTATATACAGCAGCTGCTTAATATTAAATCGTATAATAAGTACCAATTGTACCACTATAATAATAATATTAAGATCGGCATTAATTTTGAGTTTGTTATTATTATTAATATCGTCATCATTTGAAGAATTATAACAATATTATGATATTTAAATTATTGTATGTACGTTGTCCTATAAACTATAAATAGGTTCCAGCAATGTTTAAAAAATATTAAATGTTAGTAATGTTACTAAAAAAAAATATTGTTATTTTGGTATCTGTGCAATCGAACATTTTATAATATTATGTACTTATATATAGGTACCTATAATATAATCTATATAATATATTACAACAGCATTATATAATATTATTATTATTTCGCTGTTTGATAGATTTTTGTACGTATAATTATTTAAAAATTTATACTGGTACTACCTGCTACTCGTATTTTATAATTTTTTTTTTGTATTTTATGTAAATTGAAGGTACACGGGATATATTATTATTATTATTATTATTATTATTATTATCATCATCAATCAAAGAGTCTGGACGGTTAGTGCAAACGGACGCGAAACGTAAATCGTTATTTCATTAAAAGCATTTGCTAAATTTTTAAAAACGTGAAAATTTGGACAAATCTTTTATTGGCTCGACACATAGGTGTACTGTTACATATAATATTATATGATATTTAGTAATACATACTGTATTACTAGACGGTTATTAAGCTTGTCATATCGATCATTGTTTTGTTTTCGAAATACGAGTGTACGACGACCGCGCCCGACTCTTGTGTTATTATATTATATATATTTTTAATCAAATACTGTTATTATAATGAAATCAATAATTAGTTGAAAATGCATAAATATTTTATTAATGTACCTAAGCGTCTTGTTCTATGTGTTTGCTCATTTACCAATCATGTTCAACCGTCTTTTATTAACTACCGCTGCAGGGTAAGAGGAAAAAATGACCACGGAAAAAAAACCCACAAAAAAAAACCCCAAAAAAAATCCACAAAAATAAAAGTGTGTTTTATATTATTTAGAAGACATGGGAACTGGGAAGCAGTCCAAATGAATTTCTTCGGATACCTATAATCCCTAAAAGCTACAAGTGTGTTCCTAATACCTAAGTCTTAAACAATCAAAAAAATATGTTAAATACTTTTTTGTAAGTATTTTGAATACTATTTATAGCACTTTTTAAAAGTATTTTATTCCCATAAAAATATTATACCCTTTTGCTAATACAGTTATACGATAACTGTTTTTTTCTTATGGTTTTTTGGAAATGATAACAATATTATACACAATTAAAAAGAAAAATTAAATCTTGAATGGATTCCTATTTCTTATCAATACAGCAATACGTAGAAATATCCTAGAATAGGTATTATATTTTTAACCGATAACAATAAGCATTAAAACAAATTAAGAACCTTTGATAGGTTGAGCTGATATTTGAGTTTATAAATTATAATAGTTTTCTTTAAATAGGTGTATAATAGCAGTTATAGTGTTATAAGTTAGGTTTTAAAATTTGCAAGTTATTATTTTCAAGTACAGAGCAAAAATAAAGAAAAATGGGCAACCTTTTGTCACCCACAATTTTGAAAGTGGTATCGTTCGATTCCTTATAATTAGCAAGTAATTGCAAGTCCATAAAAAAATATGGAAGTCTACTCTACGACCTGTTCGAATTTCACAGTCATCATAGTATAGGGTTGTTATTAAGTAGCCTCTTCAGGATTTTAATAAATATATCATAAAAATTTGGGCAAGTCTACTATACAGTAAGACAGTTGGTTACAAGTGGGTCATTGTAATGGATGGTGTTCAATTTGAATTCAATGGTATTATATCATTGTATACCTACAAAAGCTGATTCTGAAGAGCGACGATTTGTCAGTCTAGGATGTTAGATCCTGTGATATTTTATTTTTATTGTTAGGTATAATTGATACGGTGGTCATAGAAGGTAAGATGATGTAATATTATTTGCATATTATCGTATTTGTATATAACAATATACTTTAGAAGTTTCAATATCTTTGTTTAACTTTAAATATCTAATTTCTTCCAAACTGAAACTTAAAATAACTATAAAAAACTGTGATTATAAATATATTTTCATTTTTTTTTTGGTTGCGGTATGAACTATGTACGTGGAAGTGTGGAACCTTGTTTTAAATTTTCAATCCTTAGTAATGAAAATTGAAAATGTTATGCATTTTTAACTACAAAATAATTATTTACATCTTTGCTTAAGTATTTCAAATTTAGATATTCACAACAATATTTTACATATCATGTTACCTTTTTATTTATATATTGAAAGTACAAAAAAAATATACTTTCTGCTTTCTATTTACAATGTTATACACTTATACTGACAGAGTGACAGACAACATATATGCTTATGTAACATGTTCATTGGTTCCCACAAAAATATGTATCATATAATTCTAACATTTTTATAAGTAATAGGTAACTAAATTTAAAAGTAAAATGTTATAAACTCAATAATATAGTGTTATACAAAATTCAATTTATGTGAACACCATTCAAATATTCATCAAATTATTAACTTTATCTAAATAATACCCACTTAAAGCCAAAGTACAGTTATAGTAAGTAGTATAATATTATAATCAAATGTTAACTTTTTGTGTTGTACAAAATGCATATAATATGAATAAGTATACATTTGTAGATAAATACAAATCAACTAATATTCATATTATTTTTCAAGTATTTGAAACTTAAGAGTTAACTTTAATTTTGTGTGAACAAGTCATTAAAACAATGGAACAAAATGTATATTGGCTGTTTTCTTGACACGTAACATATTTACATTATAATATAACATATTTATATTTATATATTTCCCATTTTATGAGAAACTTGCTGGTGACAAATAATTGTAGATACTATTATACAAACTTATGTAACCACTAACCAGTCAACATTTTTGTGGTAAGCTTTTATACCTAACTTTAGTTAGGGCCATGAAAAGTTAGTGGTTATTGGGTCAATCCTAGTATTAAACATAGTAATAATTTGAAAAAACTTACACTATGTCAATTCAGTATGTGTACTATAAATATATTATGTAATATTGCATATATCTACAATTATATCAGCATAACTTATGGAATGTTTTACAAATGATTATCATTATTTCTACTTCATTTAAAATGAGGCTCTGACCAGTCATCATCACTAATTTTTGTGGCCCCAACTATAGTATCAACTGTTAAGTATCCAACACCAAGATATTATTAAATATTAGACAACATTTAATACAAAAAAATTAAAATGTATATAACTTTTTATTTGTTATAAACATGCTAGGAATATACCTAAGCTAAGATTATACCTATTCTTAAATTCATTATGAATTTCAAAATTTCAAATCATAATAATATAGTATAATGAAAAAAACATTTTTAAATACAAGTTAATGTTCAATAAGTTATCCTTTAAGTATAAAAACAATGAATTATACTAAAACTTAATAGGTACATACCTAGTTAATATAATAATTATTGTAAGAGTAGTTCTAAAAGTTTAGATTTGTGTTTTATTTATTAGCAAATGCTTCATCTAAATGCATAGAGTATACAGATCTTAATATCGAAAATATCTTTTGATTTTTATAAGGGTGGCCGGTCAAAGGATCTCTGTACCTGGCATAATCTCCAGTAAATACACACTGTCTATGCGGTCTGGGCGGTTTGGCTACTTTCTTGGGAAACATTCGTTCAAACTCTTGTGGTTCATTCACTGTGATGGAAGTGCGCTCAAAATACTCACGGCGTTCACGTTGTTCATGTTCTTCACCTTCAATGTTTATATTATCATCTTCAGCAAACATTGGATATGCTTTACTAAGAAATTTAACAGATGTCAAGTATGTGACACGAGGTTTAGCTCTTGTCTGTTTTCTAGCCAATTCTAATTTTTCAAATTTCTCTAATGATTTTAAATTCTCTTCTTCTGTGAGTTTTGCTTCTTCCAACAATTCTTGCTGTGAAGGCATTTCTTCTGGAGGCATTGGTTTATTTTTTTTGATTTTACTAACACGTTCTTTGATACGTTCTATTGTCTCCTGAGACTTAACTGCTGTTGATTGGCGTATTGACTTTCGTTCATATGATGTCTCCGCCGCCACCACAACTTTTTCTGTTCTAGAACGTTTTCTTTTTGGAGCTTCATTTTGTTCAACAGGTTTTGGAGCTTTAGGTTCTTGATATCTAAAATAAATTAAAATAATTATAAATTTGTTAGAACAAAGGCAAATAATTAGGTTCTCAATCTTCTTATACCCGGTGTTATCAATAAATTTTGAAAATTTTCACGTACCACTTGTAAAAAAATTTCTGTCTGTACTGCATACTGAATTTGCATTTAGCAGAACCAACTTTGTGTATTTTGCTTCAATAATAGAGCGAATTGATAAAATTATTAAATTTAAATATAAGATTATTATCTCAGCTTTTATTAATATTACAATTTTAATGTGAGTTATAATATAATAATTCATTAACATTTATAAATCCCAAATATTAAAGCCTTGTAAATTTAAATATCAATAAAACCTAAGTGATGCTGTTCTTACTACTAAGTTTTATGGTCAATTCATTTCTCAATTCACTCTAATTTTAAAGCTAACAACACAAAATTGGTTCTTTTGAACTCATAGTTGCCATGTTGTACAATTGTAAGATGGAAACAACACGCTCGAAAATGGGACAGTCTTCGTTATTAATACCTAAGTCTTTAGAGGACGTAACACTGGCATTTACTGTCTATGTCTTACAAGTGCATAACATAGAAAATGTAAGCTCAGCAGATCACTTGCAGCATCGTTAGTTTAAAAATTGGAGTAAATCAACCTATAATGAAACTTGATGGTAAGAACATTATCTGTGTTTGTATGTTGATGTTTTACAATAGTTGAATTTTCAAGTGAGTTATGAGTATTTTTAGTTTATCCAATATTATATAGGTATGCATAACTTGATACAAAATTCAACTATCATAAAAAAACCAATGTACAGAAATAGATAATGTTCGTACCATCAAGTTTCTTAATAAGTCAGTTCACTCTAATTTTCAAACTAACGAAACTATATGTGATCTGCTGAATATAAATTTGGTATGTTAGGCACTTGTTAAACGGAGACAACAAACACCAGTATCACATACTCTTAAAGTACATTTAGTCTTAATAAAAATTATATTTTCTTCTCAACCACATAACATAGGTAGAGAATTATTGCTCTAGTTATAAAACAAATTTAATTAAAAAGTAGATACTTAAAATATGAAATTTTCAAAAAGTATTATCATTTAATGCATTTATTTTTATTTTTAGAAGGTTTGTTTATCTTTTACATTGTAATCACATTTGTTGTTTACTGAATATAGTACTGATCTAAACCATTTTAGTAATTTATATTAGGTATGATTTGAAAAAAAAACAATTATCATAAAAAAATACTGTAATAGATGTTGATGAACATTTAATTTAATTTAGTTATTTATTAAACAATAATTATTGGTGGGAGCCTCATAAACAGAGGCATAAAAATATACAAATACTAAAAATAAGTATCTAACTACCTATGTGTATTGTAATCGTAATGTACCTACCTATTTGATTTTTTTTTAGATAGTTCTTCATCTTCAATGTCTGATATTACTTCATCATTCTCATCAATACTGAAGTCTGAATCAACTTCATCTGGCGCTTCTTCATCGACAAAATGAAAATCATTGTCTTCCTCGTCTTCATTGAAACCACCATAGGTAGTCTTATAAAATTCATCATCAGCAGCTTCTTCTTCGTCCAATAAACGTGCTAGCTTATTGCCAGCATTCGAACGGCGTTCTCTTTCAGCAGCCATAGCCTGAAACAATTGGATTTTAAACATTAATAAATCATGTAAATCAAATCTTGATAAAGCCTCGTAAATCCGTAAAATAATATGTTAACCCTTGGGTACACACACTTTTATATATAGCACAGTCAGTTGAATAAAATGTGTTCAGCTAATTAATTGATGTGTTTGTGTAACAGCACAGACTATAGAGATAACATAATATAATCTTTAATTATAATATAATCCAAAAACATAATATAATAACACAATATAATATAATCCACCCGTCTGGTGTTCAAAGTTTGATCGCTAGAATATTTGAAATTGAACTAATTTGCATAATTTGTAATATAACCGTTGTTTGGGCAAAAGACAAATCAATATCAATCAGAAATTAGTAAAACTCAAAGGTTAAAATAATCTTATATTAGTAATAATAATATTATTAACTTTTCGGACGTTCGGTAGTCGGTACTATCAGTTTTTAGCTTAACCGCCTGATATCACGGCGGCATGTTATTAGAGTGAAGTTATAAACGAACATTTGAAAATTGTTTGTGACATTGGCTCTCAACATTTTAAAGACAAACGACTGAAAATACTAGAATGAGTAGAATGAATCATAAAATTAAATTATTATAAATAATAGATATTATCGGCTATCGCATGTTATTTCTATACCTTCGAATGAATATCAAATTGTATGTATGGGCGCATGTAAACTCCGCCAGGAAAAAAAACAGGTAAAATCGGGTTCCTGTAAACTCCGCCAGTGAAAAAATCAAGTAAAATTAAGACAATTAAGTGAATGTAATCGTGTAAACTTTGTCAGTAAAGAAAATCAAGTCACTGTATCAAATTAATGTATGGAACAGAATAGATATCATGTACATTATTATACTATCACAAAAAATGTGAAAAAATTAATAAAAATAATAATTGTCAGAATAAATCCAAATTTCCACGTGTTGTGTATTATCACAATAAATAATTGTAATAATCATAAAATATGTATCTAGCAACCTATTTAATGTGCCTTCATTTTTAATATAACAAGAAATATCCTCTTCTATATAATATACCACAAAAGCATTTGAAAACCTATCTTGATGCATAGATATGTGTATGATGACCAATTTCTATCTTTCTCATAGCTGAAAAAAACCCATGTACTTGAGGAAATCGGTATAGACGTATAGTGAGATACAAAAAATCTTATAAATTTGGATATACGTTTAAATCTACAACTAATTTTATTTCTTCCAAATCGAAAATCAATTTTGTACGTGTAAGACAGTATTTTGCAACCAACATAGATCCTGATGAGATACTTTCTGTATAAGAATAATCCATTTTGTTGAATTAATTAAATGTTGAATAGCTTGCAATAGTGTTGCAATTTCAAATTTAATACTAAGTTACTGACCTAACCTACTCCACAGTAATGACGTAAGATATGAAGGCTTTAGTGATTTGAAAATTGTAGTCATTCATAATATTAATGTATCGATATTAATAATTTCTAAAAATGGCTCAAGTATAATAAATACTAGATCCAATTTCACGTCTATTTTATATTTATGTAAAACCAGTTTTAAAGACTACAAACATTTTAACTAAGAAACTACTCATTCGAATTTAAAAAATATATATTATGGAATCTATCTCTCAAATTAATTTTAACTGTCATTGTCAAGTTACTGTAACGAAATTAATTTTTAAGTAATTTGATGGTAATTTGATTACATTTTATATGTAATTTAAGTTACTTTGTTGAAGTTAAATTATTAAATTACTCGTTCCTTTATTTTGCTGGTTTAATACATTTTTAGGAGTTATCGATAATGTGTATAAAATATATTAAAATATATCATACAAATATTATAATTTATAAGTAAAATTTCTAAGCTCTGATATTTTTGTTATAGTTATTGACTATTTGACGATTAATTGTTATTTTTAGAATTTGATTCTTATCTGTATTGTTTAAAATAAATTTGAAAAATAAAGATTGTAAAGTTGATTATCATTATTTAGTTTATGTATTGTAGTATAGACACAGACAATATATGGTTATTAAGCTCCAGTGACATTTTTGAAAAAAAATTAACTTCTATTGTAATTGAGTTATTTTTAAATTCAAAATTACTGGAATCTCTAAAATGGAAAAAAAGTAACTTAAAAATAATTTAATTACGATTTTGATAAGGAATTATTAGTGTATTTTAATTATCAAAAAAAAGTAATTTTTCCAACACCTACGATTTATGCATAACACATACGTAGAACGCTAAACGTTGAACAATATTTCAGGTATTCGTATGTATTTAGTGCACTTAACATTATATTGAAAAATTTAGTTACACCTACACCTAGCCTACTCATGGGCCCAATTTAAATCTTATCAAAAGGCTGAACAAATTTATTCTAAACATAATCTTAGCGGTCTTTGCACCCCCCCCCCCCCTCAAAACCATTAAGATAAAAATTGTTTACGTCTCACGAGGTTTAAACGTCTTATTTTTATTGATACATCACTGTTATTATTATTCATGTCTGTCGGGTTCGGCATGTAGCCTTGTATAGGTTCAGGGTTGTCATTTGGCTTGTCTAACTTCTTAGTTAACCATGTATTGTAGTATTGTACCATAATGTTCATATAAATAATACAATTAATAAGAATAATTTATCAACATACAACTATCTATAGTAAACACAAGGAAAATATAATAATAGTTTATCATTAGGCATACTAAAATAAATATATGATGTAGCCATGTAGGTACATTATACATTATACATAATATAAGATAATATATCCATCACAAATATATATCAAATGAGATATGAGCACTAAATAAAATCAATCCTTTCGATATTATGTAACCTAACCTAACCTATTTCAATATATGTTGATATTTTAGTGGTAATTAAATCAATTATTGTCTTTGTAATTTAAATGTGATTATTAGATACTTTTTAATATTCTGAATAAATTAAAATTAGTCTCCAGAGAACTAACAACAACATTTTAAACTTAAGTTTGACTTAAATACACCATGCCGATTTTTAATCATTTCTTATATACTATACAACTAATGTAGAATTCGATTATGGTGGAATTGAAACTTGCTAAGAATTTAATATCTATGTTAATGTAAACTATTAAGTACCACAACGAAGTAAGTTAGTAACTAACCCCATGTGATTTTTTTTTGCTTCATAAAGATTTTTGAGCCTTTAGCACCATATACAATATATTTATTTATTATGTATTTACACATATTATATCTATTTTAAATAATAATGATAATAATTTAAAAACTGTAATATTTCTTTGAAATGTTTCCACAGTTGTAATTTTTGCTGGAAATTATAAGAGATGTTGCTAAAAATTTTTAAAAATTACCACCAGTTATATATGAGGTCACATGCAGATTTCAAAGTACTTTTGTACTATAGTTATATGCTTAGAATATCTTTTATAAAAGTATAAAAAAAAATACCATCGAAAAACAAAACAAATGTCATTGTAAATTGACATTGTATTCTTATGTATTCTTATGCAACGTAGCTCCAAATATTAAACGGAATCTTGTTATTTTAGTTACCATTGTCGGTAATTTGGTTAGTTTATTAGTATATGATTGAAAAAACATTGGAAGGTAAGCGACGTACATTAATTCCGGTTGTTAAACCCCAGAAATGATCTATGTGAATTGCAAATTTTAACCTTTGTGATTCTTCACGGGATACAATGTCCAATTATTGTACAATTTTGAATAATAATTAATTAACCAAAAATTGAATGGTTTAGTTAACAAAATGTATTATGACATTGCTTTGTGTCGAGGTAAACCCTAAATCGTAATTCATTTTGCACAATTCTATATAAAATAATAAACAATTGTTAATAAAAACTTTACTCCATGCGTTTATAATTATTTTAATCAGATATATAAAAACTGTAAATTTAAATTCCAATTGTTAGAAATTTAAACTCTCTGTGAAAATAAAAACAGGAGTTCGAAAATGACGGAACCAAAAGTTGAAGTCGTAATATCTGGTATTGGAGGCCTTTTCCCGGAATGCAACAATTTGGATGAACTGAAAAATATGCTGTTTGACAAAAAGAATGGAGTGACTTCAGATAGCAGGCGATGGACACCCGGTTAGACAATATTTCGAATCTTAAAAAAATAATATATATATATTTAAATAGGTATCGAATAATAGTAATAATGATTATGAAAATATTTATTGGAGTCATCTCGTATTAAATGTACTGAGTTCATTAATTTGCCACCTCACGGAAAATGTAAATATGTAAGGTGTATTTTACACCGAATTAAATTATTTACTTAAACATATTTATAAAACCTGTACTTATTAATTATAAAAAATAAACATTCTATTATGATATTAACTAATTTAAAGTAATTTATAATCTCATAACAATACATTGACTGGATAATCGTTTTTGAGATTTTGGCATTACTATTATTAAATAGGTAACAATATGTATTGTATACTCGTACAATACGTATCGGGTCCTATATAGTAGAAAGAAGTTTTTTTAATGATACATAATAAAAGTATTTCAAAAACAACAAATTAAAAAGAAGTTCTTTATTTATTTCAAAAATTACTAGCATTTATTTACTTTTTTATAACATCATTTTAGATGTCCAGGATTGTCATTGTTTCATTTTCTAGAAAATAACGGAAAATGATCGTCTTGCCAAATCAAAATGTTTGGTTAGAATGTGATTAGTTTTTGGTAGCTTTTTAAAATTTTCTAGAAATTAATATATATATACAAATTATATCGATGGTATGTAACAATTTTAAAACTCTACAGAAAAAAGTATTGTGTATTTAATTGTAAAATATCTTAAAATGTATTTACATTTATGCGAGTTCGTTTAAAATTATATTATTAATGCAATGATTTAATGTTCCGTTTTTAAATAAAACTAATTTTTCTATACGTATGGTTTTCTTTATGTTGTTGGTACCTGCGGGTTTTATACCCTGAGGAACAGTCATTACGTAATTTACATTTTAATGATCAAATAATTACCTATATGTAGGTACCTAAACTATATTTGAAAACTATATTTTTTTCTCTTTGTCGTGTAATACAACTTTAAATTGCACTTGTAGCACATTATTCATTAAATAACATTTACCAGGCTTACCTAACATTAAGATTAATTCTGTATGGTTGATGTATTTCTTAGGAACACTAGGAACACCACATGGAGTTGGTAAAATAAAAACTCCCGAAAAATTTGACAATGTATTTTTTGGTATACATAGAAGAATGGCTGAGAGTTTGGATGCTTTAACTAGACTCAGTTTGGAAAGATCTGTGGAAGCAATAGTTGATGCAGGTAAAGCCTTCGTGTAACAGTTTATTTTAGTTGAGTTATAGAATTCTTTGAATGCACATTTATATGTATTTCAGGAATAAATCCAGCTGATTTATCCGGAACCAATACTGGTGTCTTCATGAATTCTTGTGTTAGTGAATCAGAGTTTTTTGAAGTTTTTGATACACATCAAAAAGGGTTTGGTCTTTTAGGCCATAACAGAGCAATGCAAGCAAACCGGTTGTCTTATACACTTAACTTAAATGGTGAATTCAAAGTTACTATCATATTAATGGATCAATGCTCATAATTTAAGTTACTTCTGCAAATAGGACCTAGTTACACAACTGATGCAACATGGATTGGTGGATCACAAGGTATTGTGAGAGCTAAAAGAATGATTGAAGATGGAGTAATAAATGCAGCAATTGTCGGATCATGTAATTTATGCTTGAATCCTAATATATCTCTTCAACTGGAAGGATTAGGAAGATTAACAAAGACAAACGAAACTAGGTCGTTTAGTGATGATGGTATGCTTAAATTAATATAAAACTCAATTATATATACCTAATGAATTAATATAAAATATTCAATTATACAACTAATTAATGGATTATTTTTAACTAAACATAATAACTAATAAGTGCTAAAAATAAAAATAAAATAAATTATAGTCCTAAGATTTAAATTATTTGTCAAAATCTAAACTTTAAACATATTTAAAATATAAATGTTTAAAAAAAAGTAGTGATTAAATTTTGATTTAGTTTGCAGAAATAATGAACGACAAATTTTTATTCTCTGCTGATTTCATCCTACTCATAATTCATTACGTACCACATTTCATCGTTCTCCAAACTCGCTGGTAGACTGAAGGGTTCAAACCAAGGTGGCCTTCAAGTCATTAGTATTATCGCAAGGAAATAATATGTTTAAATATATGTTTAGTTGTTATTCTTTCATTAATTTTAAAGTATCTTCCATGTTTCATTTCTCTATGTAAATGTTGTTCGACTGTCGTATATGTTACTAATCTTTGCAGTGAAATCCACCAAAACTAGGAAGTTTTTTTTATTTGATTGATTTAATTTTAGTATAATTAATAAAAACAAATCTGAAATAAAAATACATAATATTGGATACAATATTGTATAGTCCCTATATTTTTTAATATCGCTGTTTGCTTTCCTTTCAAAAAAGGGTATTTTTTTTATATAAACTAAATATATCTTGAAATATTGTATTAAATGCATAAGTATTAAAAATTGTTTTTTATTTTATAAAAATGTTACAATCAAAGTACTACTTTTAAAAATATACTAATGCCTACATTTCGGCTTTGTTATATGAAAATTTAATATAATATTATAATTTACAATCAATTTATTATCTTTGAAATGAAACAGAAAATAAATAAATAAATGTATTATTTTAGCAAATGGAATGAACAGAGCTGAATCTTGTGTAGTAGTGCTGTTGCAGAAGTTATCTGAAGCAAAACGTTCTTACGGAACTATACTAGGTGCGACTGGTATATTTGGAGAAACAGATGATTTATTTTGTCATTATTCTGATCACTTATATAAAGAAATACTATTAAATGCTTACAAAGAAGCTAATATAGATCCGGCAAAAGTTGCGTATATCGAAGGTGAAGGGTTAGGCATTAAGGTTTGTTTGAATTTTGTTAATGATAATGATAATACGTAAAATGTTTTATAAACATTGAATTTAATAGTGTGATTAAGATATGTATACTATTGAATGTATAATTTACATATATTGTTTCAATAGAAAATAGATGCAATGGAACTGAACATTTTGGGTGAGGTATTCTGTACCCCAAATAGAATAGAACCATTAAAAGTCGGTTCCGTAAAGAGTAATGTCGGGCATTGTGAAGCTACTTCAAGTTTAGTGTCAATAGCTAAAGCGCTTATTGTTTTAGACTCGGGATACATACCACCAAATATAAACTATTCAGAGCCAAACCAATCTTGTCCAGCTCTTTTGTCTGGAAAATTGGAAGTGTGTTAAAAATATAGTTTCTATTTCTGAACATTTTAATATCTAAATATTTTTTTAGGTTGTCACTGAAAAAACTCCATTGAAAGGTGAAATAGTTGGTATTAGCTCATTTGGTTTGTGTAATTCTTTCAGTCATATAATTTTAAAACAAAATAAGAAAATTAAAACAAAAGCTTATGAAATTGGAGAAATATTTGAAGACGGTTTACCACGAATTATATATGTATCCGGTCGAAACGAAGAAGGTGTTATCCAGTTTTTAGAGTGTATAAAAAATAGAAATATGGACGAAGAGTTTGCAGCTCTTTTACAAAGCGTTTTTTATAAATCTATGAACGCTCATTACTACAGGAGCTTCACTATAATCCCAGACAAAAATGATGGATCACAAGAAGAAATATCGGTAGGTAACTTATGAATTATTATTATGCCATTGTTATTTGTATTAACTATTATTTACAGTACCTTCCAGCGATAATAAAACGGCCTATTTGGTTTGTATTTTCTGGAATGGGATCACAGTGGAATGGTATGGGAAAACAGTTATTAAATATTCCTATATTTGCTGAATCAATACGCAAATGTGAAGCTATATTAAAGCCGAAAGGTGTTGATCTCATTGACATTTTAACAAACGAAGACCCCAAACTTTTCGATAATATACTAAACTCATTCGTTGGTATAGCTGCCATACAGGTTTATTTAAATACAACCCATGTATTTGAATTTTAAAAGCGGTTCTTTAATTAATGTTTTAAATAGATAGGTTTATTTGACGTGTTGAAGAGCATTGACGTTGTGCCTGATGGCATTATTGGTCATTCAGTCGGCGAATTGGGATGCGCCTATGCTGATGGTTGTTTCACTGCGGAGCAAATGATACTGGCTGCGCATGCAAGAGGTAGAGCTTCGATAGAGACTAAACTCGTCGATGGGTCAATGGCTGCGATAGGATTAGGGTACAATGCCATTAAAGATAGGCTTCCACATGATATCGAAGTTGCTTGTCACAATGCGTCTGACAGCAGCACTTTGTCTGGGCCAACGGCTAGCGTATCGAGTTATGTTGAAAAATTGAAATCAGAAGGAGTATTTGCCAAACTTGTTAATGTTTCTAATATTGCATACCATAGTCAGTTTATAAAACCAGCTGCGCCGACATTACTCAAGTATTTGAAAGAAGTAATTTTGATTTGAAGTATTTAAAGTACAGACCAATCAAACATTATTCTTTGAATAACCCTTTGTCATCGATTATTTTTGTTAATAGGTTATTCCAGAACCAAAGCCTCGATCATCAAAATGGGTGAGCAGCTCCGTACCTGAATCCGAATGGGGAAATGAAGTTGCAAAGTACAGTTCACCTGAATATCACACTAACAATCTTCTGGGACAAGTATTATTTGAAGAAGCTTCCCGTCATATACCCGAAGATGCAATTGTAATTGAAATCGCCCCCCATGGGCTTTTACAAGCCATACTTAAACGATCATTACCAGGAAAAGTGACAAATATAGCGCTTACACATAGAAATACAAAAGATTCAGTCAGATTCTTATTAAGTGCTTTTGGAAAGTAAGTGAATAGTACATTATTTTATGTAATAACTGTCCATGAAAAAAACACTAAAAAAACACATATATGACATATTCATTAGGATGTATAATAACGGTATGAGTCCTAACATTGAAGCATTCTACCCATCAATAAATTATCCAGTTAGCAGACAAACTCAAGCTTTACATTCTATATTTCCTTGGGACCACAAAGAAGAATGGTCATTAAAGAGTATGACGCAGATAGTAAGTTTAAGATTTTAATATCATAAAAACATTTCCCGATTTTATTAACGATTTAATAAACGATAGTAATAATGAAACATTGAATTAAATTCATAACAAAATGTAGCATGTTATACTAGACATTTTTCCACTAAAGTACTGTATATACACCCCCCCCCTCAGAAAAAAATTTATGATTCTTTAATTTTCTTTACAGAAGAAAAATATCTGGTGGCATGCTACTTACACTAATTACGAACTTCGTAAAATCGGTATTTACAGCCGGCTAGGTACTTATTTGTACAATAATTGTTTTTGGTTTTTTGTTTCGTAACCAGTTTTAACAAATACATTAGATCTTTTCTTAATCCAATCGAAATATTGGAAAATGATATTTATCATGATTTCTTACTTGTAATACAAATATCAGTGCATTCATTTTTCCATTTGAGCTTAGTGCTATCAGTTAGTACCACATTAATATTTTTAATTACTTATTGTAAGTTTTAACTTAAGTAATTATTACCAATACTTCTTTTTCAGTCTTCAAGAATTACAGGCGAAAGAAATTTTACGTTACATATAAATAATGAACATATTTTATTCGATTACAAAATCAATGGGCGATTTATTTTGCCTAACTCTTTCCTTTTAGTGAGTTTTGTACAAATTAAAATGATTTTTTCTTAACTAAATGATAAATATTAACACATTTTAAATGTGTAGCTTCAAGTATGGAAATCATTTATAATAATTCAAAATGAATTATATTTTGATGAGATAATTGCATTTGAGGAATTGAATTTCCACAGAAATATTGAAATTGCAGCAAATGGTGAGTACTTACACACAAGGGCGCCCGCGGAAATATAAACAAGGGAGGGATTGGGGGCAAAGTCAAACATTTTTGATGGCACAGCATGATATATTTTTTGTTTGTTTTTACTAGTGAATTAATATTAATTAATATGGCAGGAGGGCAGGCCAACCCCCAGCACACCACTGCGGGCGCTCATATACCTATATTTAACTTATTTATTGAAACTTCAATATAATAATTGCATTCATAATCTGTTACTAAATTAACTTTACAGATATTAATTCAAGCAAAAAAAGTGTATTATTAACCTATTTTTCAAGTTAAAATAATTGTATGATTATTCATTTTTAAGTAGCGTATAAACTATAATAATATCTATAAATAAAATATGAACTCATGTTTTACCCAGTTAGTGTTCTTAAAAAAAAACGAGCGTCCTCATCTGTTATAGCTTATTTAAAAAAAAATCTTTAAGCAAAACTATGAGAATGTATAAATCATAAAAAATATTTTTTTATATATATGTTATAATTAAAGTTTAAATAGGTACAACACATTATAAAACAATGTCTACCATAAATAAAATATTTTCAGATTTTTATTTTTATTAAAATACTTATTTCATGTCTATTTTTATAACATTGATTTTATTCATGAATGACTTAAGTTCAATATTTTATTTTAGATACATTAGAATTCTATTCACTTATACAATGTGGAAGTGGTAACTTTGAAATATGCTTGGAAAATGAAGTAATAGTTTCGGGGAAAATATTACGACCAGACGCTATTGATATGACTCCAATAAAACCAAAGATGAAGTACCTAGATACAGTTTCTGATTTACCACACAGTTCAATTTCAAAACATGACTTGTACTCATTGTTGGAGCATAATGGATATGAACTCGGTGAACAATTTAAGACCGTGACAAATATAGATCTACATTTTGAAGGTAAAATAATGTACATAAAAGTATACAATAATATTTTAAAATATTAATGATTAAACTTTTTTTTGTTTTTGAAATTTGGTGGTTTAAGAGTCTTACTATATTTATTAAAAATATATAAATTATATAAATACCTGTTTTACTATTACAAAAATGCGATTTAATACCCGTAATAGATTTAGTCTTGAGAATCAATTGTATGAATATTATGATTTTTAATTAATTTTAAGTATTAAAATTCTATTATTGCACGATTTTGATCATAAAATAGTGGCGCACCTATGCATGATTTTAAATTGATTATTATGATGGCGGGTAAATGGGCATCAACCATATTTATATTATCATATGTCAAGTTAATGAATATAATATGTAATATCTTTAAATACTTGTCCACTTTTAATTCACATAAGTATCAATTGAGTTATCGCATAAATTAATGTATATTTATATTTATTTTCAAAGAATATCGAGGAAACGTAAAGTGGGACGGTGATTGGATGAAATTCCTTAATGGAATTTTTACATTTCTTATTCACAAAAGTATGGAAACCAACGACAATCCAGCAGATGTATCATTTATTCGTAAAATGTATATTGATCCATCTTATTTTAAAGATTCCATGGGAAAAGGTGAGTGTCCATTTTTAAATAACTACGAGCTGTATTTGTATTTCATTGTATAATTAAAACCCCTACATAATTATATTTTTTACTCAAAGGCATGGTCTAAGTGAACGAACAAAATGTTTAATTGAATAATATTATGTAGATAATCTTATTAAAATATATTTTATTCATATTTAGATGTTCCTATTTATTATAATTTTAATGCTAACGAAATAAACTGTGACGGGATATACATTTTGCATCCAGAAACCAAACCATTTTCAATAACCACATTAAATCCATTTGAACTGCGATTAGAAGAAGAACAATTTGTACAATTAAATAATCCAAATTGTGAGGTATATTGGCCTAAAACAAATACATTTTATTATAATTATAAATATGTTAAATATATATATATATTTTTTCTTTAGAACGAAATTAATTTTATCAATAACTGTCTGCAACTCATATTTGAATGTAAAAAATTTCAATCAAATCCCAACATGAATAATTTCAAAATTTATTACAGTAACAATGATAAAAAACTAAATCAGTCCGTCACACTAGTGAAGCAAATGCTTGACATTCAGATTGGAATTCAAGTTAGTTCTTTATATTCTCATTGTTATTTTTAAAATTTTTACAAATCGTTTAATTTTTCTTTTCAATTATATAGCACACAATTACGAGTTTAGATAAAACTAATCCGGAAAAGTTTATTAACAATGACCACAATATCATATTATTACCATATGATCAAATGACAAATGTTGTTTCTGTTTTAAAAAATACTAAAAGAGTTCATTTATTGGTGTCATCGAAAGAACCAATGTCTAGTACCAAAGAATGGAATGTTATTATGCAACAACAATTGAATGGACACTATTTGGTTTTGATCAAAAAGGTTTATTTTGATTTATTTTGATTGTGAAATATTGAAATAAATGAGTTTTTTATTTTGTAGATCAAAGAAATAAAAATAATTGGTGTAAAATTGGAAAATATTTCGGACCTTCAAAATTTTTTCGAAAACGTTAAAAATTCTCTAGTAGAATGTAAAAAAACAAAAAGTTATCTTTACATTTTTACGAAAGTCGTACCATATGTAAAATTAACAAGATTTATGGAAGAATTGTTACTTAAAAATAAATCAAATAAGATAAGGTAGGTATTATTTTACCAAATCGAGTAGGTATAATATATGTGATCTAAACAAAAAGTATTAAAAAAAATTCTAATGTTTAGATTTGTTTTCTTATTGGACAATTCGGGTCCTGATTTCAATATTGATCATACATTTTATGCTGAACAGTTGGGCAAACAATTGTTTGTAAATATTTATAAAGATGGCAAATGGGGAACCATTGTCAGGAGTCTTGTTGACAATTCCAGTCATAACGTCTCCGCAGACAAAACGATTGCGACTTACATCAGTGATCTCAAGTAAGCATTAAACAGTTTAAATATAAATATTAATTTCATTAAATGATTTTTTCTTTTAAGTAATTCAACTTCAAAAATTGAGAATACAAAAAGTTATTAATAAAAAAAAACGCATACAGTTGTATGAAATTGTATACTTTGTATTATGTTATATTTAAATATACCTATTTGTAAAAAAACAATCCAATCTCTTAATACAAAACAAATAGCTGTAAATGTAGCTGAATCTGTACTATAAATTTTAAACAAAACACACTTATAACTTCATTTAGCTTCTATAATAGGTATACCTATACAATATAAACAATAATGCATTTGTTAGTGAGTACTCGGGTAATCTCAGAAACCACATATGTTTTGAACTATCGAAGCATATTCACATATGAAGTTCAGTTCTCATAGGTTTTTGTTTTGGTTAGGTGCTGAAAAATGAAAAAAAAAATAATTCATTAACAGTACAACATTTTCTAAGTCAGCTATTAGAACTAATACACATACTATGTAAATATACAAGTACATCATAACATCATATTTAAATATTTTGATTTGTTTCGAATCAAATTAATGTAGTAAAATATTGATATACTGTTATAAAAGTTCGGTATTCCCTCATAAATTTTCTATAGGTGATTAAATATATTTTCATATAATATTATAGATTTACTCAAAAAAAAAATACCACTATGAGATTAATTTATTACTAATTTTATATTTATATTTTATACTTTTATATAATTGTTATATTGTAACAAGGTTAGTAATTGTAAAAACAGTCGAGTTCAATTATTTAAGACAATAACTTTTAAAACTAAAATAAGAAGATAAATTGTCAAGTCTCGTTTCCACCAAAAATTCAAAGATAGTAATATTGAAAATACGATATTATACTGATTTTTTTCATATGATAGCTTATGCCTGAAATATAATTTTGGGGCGATTGTAAACTCTCCCTATGTTAAACTTTTCCGGGTCTACGATACTTCAGTACTACGAAGCCAGAAGAGCATGGGGCATTATTCGTATATCCAGTTGGTAAGGTTCAAAAACAGGGTTGAACATGGTCAATATCGTTTTAAATATTTAAATTAAAAATAGGTTAACGGTAATAAAATATTTGAATTTTAAAATTACAAATACAGGTTAATGGTAATAAAATTGCTAATACATATTTAAAATGGTAATCACAATCTCTGCAGTATAGCCATTCATAGTGTAGCTATAATATTTAAAACAACTCTATCACGCTATTACATATTTACTTCAGGTAAACATAAATTTTGACCCGGGAGAGTTTACACATTTCTATCAGGCAAACATAATATTGACCCGGGAGAGTTTACTATCGGGAAAGTTTACTAGTTTTAAAAATTGGGAGAGTTTTCCACCTCCCTAATTTTGAATATGTCCTGTACAAATTAAACCATTTAATTTTTGTATTTCAGATTAGATGGCCTGAATGTCAAGTACTTAGGAATTAACTTCCAGGATATATCTGTAAATAATAATATGATAGACGTAAGTGACAATAACAATATTACAGGTGTTTTATAAATGAGCTATCTACAATAATTTAAACCAGAAGTTCTTAAAATTTTTTTTTCCCGTACCACTTAAGTACATTATCAATCAGTCGCGTACCACTGATGATTAAAAATAGAAAGATACAAACTTTACATAGTTAAATACGTTTATTTTAAATAAAAATGCAGTAAAATACTACAATTTAATTATTATTTATTTATTAATACACATTTATTAGTGTTTAAAAATTATGGTATGAATTAAATAACAAATTTCCAATGAGAACCATAAATTAGTAGATTTGATATTAGCGATGAAATATCTGGTTCAGTGTTACTTAAGGTCTTCCGTGTACCAACTTGTAGTCTTTAACGTACCACTGTAATACGGTTTGAAAACCGATGATTTAAACTATATGAGAAGTGCTTGATCTAAAAACCTCAATTTTAATAGTTTAAAAAAAGTATGAAATTTTCTATTTGTGAAATATGCAAGTAAATATTCATTTAAGTCATGCCATTTATCCATTTGACAAAACCAAAATATTACAAAAGTTCAAAACTTTTATACTAGATGAAAGATATTGATACTGTTGTGTATGGATATAATAGACTACATTTAAAAGAGTTAATGTAAAATATTAAAATTAAATATTTATGGTTATAGGAAACTTTGTGTTCACCAAAGCCATACTTAGAACATTTTTTTTGAGGTGGTGGGGAGGAACGGGTTTATGGAATATCATTAAAAAAAAAATTTATGTTCAATTTACATTAGGTTTTGTAACCCGAAAAAATTTCAGGGGGGGGGCAGATTAATTATCACCCAAACATTTTTTCATTAATTATAATCACTGACATTACAGACGCATAAATAAGCTTATGTTATTTTCTACTGAATAAAAATGATTGATTACAAAAAACGTTTATCTTTTGTGATAATTAAAAAATATATATTATGTCTTTCGATAGGTATAATACATATGACTCGTATTTACACGCAATATACATAAAATGTGAATTATGCTAAATTCAAAAATTGAAAATACACCTAATATTTTTAAATTTAGACTAAAATTGAATATTATTTGACATAATAACATATCCAAGATTATATTATCTAAATCATATTTTTATTTTTTAGAACGAACTTGGTCCTTTGGAATATTCTGGGAAAACGATTGATGGTAAGAAGGTAATGGGAATTGCGCCATTTGGAAAAAATGCATCTGATCAAATTTCACCGGATCCACATTTAGCATGGATAATTCCATCGGACCTGACGTTTGAAGACGCTGCTACTATTCCGATGTCTTATTCAATGGTAAATATTTCCAAATGAGACTATAGTATTTATTGTCAATTACATTGTTAAACATTTAACAAACATATTTAAATAATGTCATGGTGTTTTGTTATTATTTTAATCATTGGCAGTCTAATTTTGGGAGTAGGTACATTATTAATTTACTATTATTGATGTATATTGTTTTAGTCTAATTTAAAATTATCATTTTTGATAGGCATATTATATGCTGACTGTTTTAAAAATATCAGATGAAATATTTGAAAAAACGATGTTGGTAAATGCTGGGTTCCACGCAGTTGGACAAGCAGCTATTGCTGTAGCTATATCGTTAGGATACTCTGTTTATACCACAGTTGAAAATAAAGAACAATGCACACTACTTAAGAATAAATTTCCTTCGGTAAGAACGTCACACTTTCACCATAAATGAGTACCCATAAGACATTATTTTGAATAAACATATTCATAATAATTCAATATTCACTATAATTTAAAGCTTCCGGAATCCAGAATTTTCTGTTATTATGAAAATTTTGAAGTGAAACTTAAAATGGCTACCAAGGGAAAAGGTGTAGCCATAATTGTAAATTGTCTCCAAGGCCACGATTTTTACGCAGCGGTTCGATCAATAGCAAATCATGGATCATTTTTTCAACTGACTAAAACTGCCATGAAAAATAAAGAAAAACTTGGTAACATTATTGCTAATCACCTCATGGTTCACGTACTTATCTATCTAAATATTATCTCACATTTTAGGACTGCTTGTTTTTTTGAAATGTATTACGTTTTATGGTGTTAGTCTAGATAGCCTGTTGGCAGAATCTAGTGAAGTTAAACAGGACATTCAGAATGAAGTTCAAAAAGGAATAGATCTCGGTATTGTCAAACCGTTTGATAGACAAGTTTTAACTGGTCCTTGTTCAAGAGAACAAGCTATACAATCATTGCAGTATGCTATTTATTTGAAATAATTTGAGTACAAAATGTTTATTATTTTTATATTTTATCTTTAAATTTAGCTTATCATCTCAAGGAGTAGAATCTAGTCGAGTTGTGTTGGCTCTAGAAGAAGAAAAGACATTAGGAAAGTTCTTAAAAGGATCAGATCTTGAGAAATATCAATGCTATTCTAATCGAGTATATTTAATTGTTGGTAAGATATATTATTACCCATTGATAGTACAGCATTTGATTGTTAGTCTAAATCTAAAATATTCAACTATTTGGTTCTGTAGGAGGTAAATATAGTACTTGGATCGATATTGCTGAATGGATAGTAATGAGAGGAGCTCGAAAGATTGTTGTGGCGTTAAAAAAATACTCCATGTCTACCACTGCATCGAGGAGGTATTTTTAAACTAATTTTCGTTATTTTTCTTTTAAATATATTAGGTAAACTAAGACATTGAGATATTGCTTAACTCGATACAATATAATTATGCAGGTTTAATTTACTTATATCACGCTATCAAAATGTTATGATACAAATAGTATCGGATTCAAACTTGAACTCAAAGGAAGATTTAATTCTGTTATTAAATGATACAACAGCAATTTATCCTCTTGGAGGAGTCTTTTTTGCAACGTTGGTAATTATATAATATATTTAGATAACGTTTCTGAATTAAAATTTTAAATATTGTAAATTGGTTTAATCATATTGATTGTTAAAATAGTTGTTTTAAAAGAAAAACGTATTTGTTTTTGCAAGATAGAAACAGAATACATAAATAATAATATTTACCTATATTTACTATAATACTACAATTAGTTTTATTGTATGTATTAATGATACCTATATATATTTTTTTTTTAGTTTTAAGACATAAAAAAATATTTTTTGCTGATGTTTAGTTGTTCTAGCTCAGATTCTGAGTATCAGATGCTAGTTTTGACACTCTGGCTTATTTTGAACTTCTACTGATATTACATTATATTAAATAGAATTTTTAACTTTAATTTAATAACATTAATTATAGTTACTGTTATTAATTATTATACATTTTATAACATTTTTTTTTATCAGATTCAACTAATAAATAATAATATTTTAAAATTTAAATACATTACCTACATATTAATATAACTTTTTACAGAATATTTATGAATATTTATTAATATTATTTATTATTTATATCATTTATATTATTTATACTATTTATTATTTATTTATTAATATTTACAGAATATATATGATTATTCTTTTTTCACATTCTGTTCATAGTCCTTCAGTATTCTGTCCATTTTTAAAACACAAAACTGTAAGTAACTGGTAATTAATATTTTATTTTTATTTAAATAGAGTGATGAAGAATATAAGATACGCAACATTCAATATGTCCTTGAAGGCGATCCATCTTTTAGGAACCTGAAACCTTTATTTGTTTGTATTATGAGTGGTGGACAAAACACCTGTACAGAATTAAGAGCAAACGGTGTTTGTCCAAATACCATTTGTCTTTCATGGAGTTTAGTGACTTCGGAACCAGATTTTTCTAATATAGTGCCATCATTAGATAAACTTTTATTAAGTGTCGATAAAATTTCTTCATCTACAATAATATGCACTGAATATGACAAGAAGTTGATTGGTAATATATTTTTTATTTTACAAATGGCGTCGTTATATAAAGATGCAAAATTAATAGTTCGGAATAATAACTATGAATATATATGACTTAAAAATAAAAGAATTAAATTTTCGAATTAATTAAATGAAAAGTATCTACCTACACCAGCGTTTCTTAGGCTATCGAACGATTGAGAACGTTATACCTTTTTGGCCGAACGATTGAGAACATTTAAAAATAACAAAGAATTTACCACCGACCCTAAAAAAACCCAAAAAAGAATACGATTGAGAACGAATTTACGTGCAACGTTGCCATATCATTTATTATTTATTATTTAACAAATATTCTAGAAAAAAGTCATATGTAGTATAAATATGTTTAAAATTTTTTAAAAAGTTTAGTATTATAAAAATATGTAATAAATTGTAAAAAAAAAAGTAAAAAATATAATACATATGTATAAAAAATGTAATGAAAAATGAGTTAGGTACCTATGTATTAGTTATAGCGGGATAGCGTAATCCAACATAACCTAACCTTACGTTTATGCGAGGACTAGTGCGACGAAGTTATTCTCTCGTATATTTGGTATCTAAGTTATAAATAAGATCCGATAAACGTCCGATAAATATTATACATCAACCGCATCAATCGTTCAGCCCAAAAGGTATAACGTTCTTTATCGTTTGATAGCCGATTATCGTGCTCAAATTATCTTTCGATAACATTTGGCAACGTTGGAAAAAAAAAGACATATCGAGCGTTCTCAATCGTGTTACCAAAAATGACGTTCTCAACCGTAACGTTCTCAATCGTATTTCACCGGTTTCTTAAAGTGTATTCCGTGTAACCCCGGGAGGTCACTTCAGGGTTCCGTGAAACTTGTGGTTTTTTTTTCAAAATCTTAAATTTTAAATGTTGACACATTATTATAACTTTTATTGAAAATAATCTTTACATAAAATGACGCATTGAAAGTATTGAAATAAAGTAGAAGTTCTAATTGTCAAGCTGTAATAACTTATTGTTAAAAGCTTAATACAAAAAAGCTAAAAAAATTTGGGGTTTCAAGAAAAAAGTGCACATAAAAAAATAGGGTTCCACGGATAGAAAAGCTTAAGAAACGCTGACCTCCACAAATAATTAAAATAAATATTAAATTTTAAAAAAAGGATATTATTTTTCATTAATATTTTTGTAATCGTATTGTGTCTTTAAAAAAAGCAATTATTTTTGTTCGAAAGAGTACATTTTTATTTGAATAATTATTTCGAAATACTATCTCATTATCGATATTCAACTATTAAATTAAAAAAAAAACCCATTTTTCTATTTTGAACTTTTGTAGCAAGCAGAGAATTTTATTCGAAACTGATTACGGAATTGCCTGGTTCTATTGATGAACTGAACGCTTTTGGAGACACAATTACGGAAGAAATTGATTTTATAGAAGTGCCTACAAAGAGTCCCCGATTTGCAGATTCCATAGGTTTGCCTGTGTTTATCGTTACAGGATTTCTGCCCCAAAGAATGAAAACAATTTATGACAATCTAATTTATCCAGCATTCGAAGCAAGATTGCCTGAAACTATAGAGTCCATTGAACACGTGGCGAGAATACTCGTACAGGTAATATCATAACAATACTTTTTATCAATTTCTTCAGCTTTAATGATTGTTTACTTATAAGCCACTGAATCAATACATAATTACAGAAACTCAAATCGATCACCAAATGCGGTAATGTTTCTCTAATCGGTATGTCTTGGGGGGGTGCTGTGTGTGTGTTGATAGCACAACTGTTGGAAGCAGATAACATTGCAGTGAGCTTAACACTGTTGGAAGGTATACCAAACGTATTCCAAGAATGGACGAAAAGTCTGCTTCAGTACGGAAGTATTAATTCTAAATTGTTATTGAACTATTTTCAAATCAGCAGTACGGTAATAAAATTTTATTTTTTCTAACTACCAGATAACTTGTAATGTATCATAATATTACAATTGTCCAACGGATACTTTTAGATGGCCAGAGGAATATCTACGAAAAACGGTTGGAATACAGAGTTACCTAAAGTGTTATCGTCAAACAAATTGTTGACCACTGATAAAACTTTAAAGGCATTGAATGCAATACGTTCTAGATTAAGCACTTTGTTTGAATTAAGACCACTTCCCAATAGGATAATCGCAAAAGTCAAAGTGGTTTCTAGGACTATTAACGTTGAAAAATCAAAATCCTATAAACTAGAAGAAGTAAGTATCTAATGATTGTAGTTATTAAAGGTACCTAGTGATTACAGTGCATAAAATGTAATTCTTACTTAATCTAACCCGACTAATTACCATGTCATAAACAGTCATTAATGTCCAAACTTTATAAGAATTTCCCCCAAAATCAGATATTATAGAAAACAGATGTATTCTACAAGTAACTATTTCATAAAAATATTTTTATTTATTTTATTGATTCAGATGTAACTCATGATATATTGTACATTCTATCAGTCTTGGCTGTTTGGATAAATTACTTTTAAAAATCATATTGTTTATTTTTTAGTTTTGTGTTCGAGACCCCGAAGTTATTTTGTTTGATGAAAAAGACTACGAAAAAATGCTATCTGAAAAGAAACTATCTCAATTTATAAATAATAACATATTACACTATCATCCAGACACCAACGAAATTCCAATCACAGAATTATACAAACGCGCTGAACTTAATGCTATTGGTCTTTGTTTAAATTGAAAGAAGTACTTAACTAATTTTTATATGGAATTTATACATATAAGAAAAAATCTATGTATTATTTTTTTTATCGCTTATAAAAATATATTTCACATGTTTCTTTCAATTGCTTATTATGTAAAACAAAAAAGTGAAAATATTTGATTCAATTTATGTATAAGCGTATAACAATTTTTATACTTTATTTCCTTTTCCAAGCTAACTATTCTCTAATTTGTATCATGTAATTTTAAAAATTTATATTTTGAAATTTCAATATTTTTGTTTAAGTGATATTATATAACTTTTAAAAACACTCGAAAGTTTTATTATTATATTAATAGAAACTACTTCATTTAAAATAAATAGGTTTTTAAATTATTTTGTGGCTTAATTATTCAATTTATTACATGTTAAATATTATACCCAAATTGTTTACTAGTATCATGCTTCAAAACTTATAGTTATAAACTCAAATTGTATTTTAGTTGATATAATTTTGTTTCTACCACACTTATATACATATAAAATAATAGAGTCGTATTAATAATAATATTATGCTAAATGATAATTGTTATAATTAATGAGACATATATGTGAGCTTACTAAGTATTACAAAATTAGAATAAGTATTCGGAACTTGGGAGTAGTTGGCAAATTATTATTCAAAATAGGAAAATGCGAGATAATTTGCGAAGGTGGTTCGGGCATGTTGAAAAAAGAAGTAGTTGAAACATAATAGTGAAGAACTGATTTTAATCATACTACTTATTTTTATGACTCAAATAGTAATTATTAAAACTACATTTTTGTAACTTTTATAAACAATATTTATTAAACACTTTAATCGATTTATTAAGTATTAATATATTCGGTTTTCACCAAACCTTGTTAACATTCTACGGTAAAGAATAATTGAATTATATTTATCGACACCTATTAAATACAACACTTACCTATACTATGTATTTAGCTTCATAAGCCACCAAAATCTAACCAAACTATGTAATTGACTACTATGTGTATCACATTCACATTATCGTGCAGGAACTGCAAATTGTGGTTAAACTTAACTGCAGTTATGCTAGAGTTTCAAATGTTTTCGTATTGAAACGTCGCATGTTTGCATCTTACTATAATGTTATTCCGATTTATGTTTAGGACATCATTACATCAATGAGTTGTAAAGCTGTGGTAGCCGACGTCAAAGCATGCACACAGTTGTATACCTACTAACAATACCTAATACAGTTGTTACTAATTGCATAACATAGTAATTAAGATGATATTTTAACAAGACGTGTCGCGGTTCCTTGCCTACTTAAGTTATAATTTAGAATTAGAACAGACATAGCTGGTGACCGGTGAAAACATCTCCTCAAAAATATCTTCAATTTAAAATATATCCAGTAAAAAATATCTATGGTACAAAATGTCTTCGTTTAGAAATATCTGGTATGAAAATATTTTAATAATATGTATATAAGTACAAAATAAATGATTTATTATAATATATCCGACTGTATTTATAATTCAGTGACTCTTACGTGTGTTCAATATTATGTTTGTGACAATTTAAAATTGTGGATTATTCATAAATACCTAATACAATTGTATGTAATAGTATGTAATCAAATTAGTGTAATGCAATAAAAAAATAATAATAAAAAAATAAATATAAATTCCAATCAAGATACAATTTAAAATTTAAGATTTTGGGTTATTCCCCTTAAATATTTTAGAGATGTAATTTCGTTGTATTGACTTTAAACAATCGTTCATCATAATCAATAATCATTGTACTTCTTTCCTTTTTTTGACTTTGTTCACCAAGGCAGATTGTTCCATTTTGATCTAAACATTAGGTAATTTAGTAATATTTAATTAAATACATCAATATTATATAAAATACCTCTCGCAATGACTGTTCTCGCTTAATACAATTAATAAATTTATAAACCGTCACATGATTTGCTACAAGTCCACTATTAAATGCATGATGCCAATCTTTAACCGCTTTATTGGTCCATGGTTGTTGTTTGAGTTTTAAATCATAACAGTTCCACCTGCGAAAATCAAACTGCGAGGAGTATCTCCGATTGTTACCATTTGGTAGTCCAATCCAAGTATCTTCAAAATAATTAATTATTGGAGATAAAAATTCTTCATTTTCCAAAAAATAAGTTGAATCTATAAGTTTTTCGAAAGTTCGAACAACATTAATTTTTGGAATAAACGCCAACGCACTCGAGAATCGTATTTGCATAGAAAACTCAACTTCACCACCATACATATTTTGTTGTAAGCCACAACTTTGAAATGTCGAACATAAAATGTTGTGTGAATCTTAGTGAAACTGGAACTAGCTCAATGAGCGTCAGCGTCAAATGTTCCCTATTCGGCCAAAACTTACTGTTCCCTTTTCAGCCACTGTCCCTTTTCGATCAGTAGTTTTTTATTAACACTATTACCTACAACTAAACATTAATACTACTACTATTTTAAATTTTGACCTCCCGAATGCACCAACTAGATTCACATTCCTACCAGAAAAGTTGCTGTTGATAAACATCGAAGCACTTTTAATGCCGCAAACCGTGATGACAGACACACAAAAAAAAAAATTAAATAAATAAATAAAAAACACACATCATTGTAAAATCAATACACTCCTCTCAGAATCTAAAATATGCATTCATGCCCACGGCAAAAATAATAATTATGATGAAAAAATAACATTCATAAATATGTCAAAAATAATAAGTAGGTATGATAAAAAAATATACACTCATGAATATGTCAAAAAAAATAAATATGATAAAAAAATATACATTCATGAATATGACAAAAATAATATATATGATAAAAAATATACATTCATGAATATGTAAAAAATGAAAGATTAAGTTTTATGTATCATAATTGTATGATATTCGTTCGACAAATATGCAACGACATATTTTACTATTTTTGTAGTCTTCAATGTAAGCTTCATTCGTCGTTGCCGTTCTACATTTTTTGCATCACGAGGTTTTTTTTAAATGTTGATACTTCTAATTTGTATGTATTTATCTTTTGAACTTCATTAATAATGATAGCTAACCAGCTCATTATGGATGGAGTATGTTTATAAAAGCTTTGATTGAAAAAGGAGTGGAGCGACTCTCATGCATTAGTAGTTATGGTCAGACTTGCCGACCCAGCGGCTCGATATTGAGGCGGAAATAATCTCTCTTCATTTATGAAATTGTCTGTCAAGTAATCACAGTATTTTTTTAATCGTCCGTCGTCAGGACAATTCGATATAAAATATTAAAATCATTGACAAAACATTGTGATACTTCATGTGGGCTTAAAAAAAATAATCCAAAAGTGTGTCTAATCCATTGTCCTATTTCAGATGACGTATCATTATAATCTACTGATAATCCAAATCCAAATTGATGTACACTTCGCCACCAAGCTTGGGTCAAATGGAATCTACAACCCACTATTTCAGTGTCAGGCCAAACGTTTTCAACAGCTTTGTGAATTGTCGCCATTTCAAAGTCCATCGCGACCAATTTTAGGAGAATTAATTTAACAAATTATTTATTTTATGTAAAGTATATACATATGTTTATCATAACTTTTATTTAGTAATAAACAAAATATAATGGGAATATAATGTCCATTTTTAAGTACATGAATGGTAAACATTTGAGTAAAAAATCGAGGGCAAAATTTAAATGTACCGTCTATGTATATTGAATCTATTTCCAATAATAACTTTAAATATATAAATAATCACGTGTTTTTCTATGTCATTAAAAATTAAAAAGGGCTCACCTTTTTTCGTCACTGGTTTCATATCGTCTAAAGCTTTATGTACTCTAGCGAGGTCATACGGTGTAGCAGAAATAATTTTCTTACGTTTTTTATAAATATTTTTTTTTATCCTTTTAATGTCTATAATATTAGTATTCAATGACGAGGCTTCACATATTTTTTGCATGATAATTTTTTTTGGTCTAGTATGAAGATCATTTTCAGCTTTTCTCTTACACTCTGCATTAACTATTTGACGATTAATTCAATTCCTTGTATATTAACTATGGTTTATGTGTATTACATTATCGGTTTCAGGTCAAATTGTATTTGTTTGATTTGTATATAATATAGCACCACACTTACGATCAATGCACTTCCAACGAGCTGTGTCGTCCAATTTTGTATTAACTTTTGAAAATGTATCATTTTGATGAGATGGAAACGATAAGGTATAACATATTGGTATAACTCTATGCTATACTACCATACTATACCTACTCTATCGCCTCGTTATACATTATATTATATGAAACAACTAACATAAAATAATACTGGTTTATCTGTATTTCAGAAAAACAAACTATAAAACTATAAAAGTATGAACCGAATTAAACTTACGTTGAAGAATGAAGACTATAAAAATTGTAAAATTGCCAGTTATTTTATTCAGTTATTTTTTTACACACTTTAAAGTAATAATGTAAATAAAAAAACTACTGGCCGAAAAGGGAACCGCCCAGCTTAGCAGTGACATAATTGTGGGGGGATTTGGGTGTCGTATGGGGGGCATGGCCTTTTTTAAAAATGGTCTATCATATTTATGTACTTATTCTACAGTATATTCTATAGAAATAATACAAAAAACCCGAATCTCCGTGCCAGCTGTACACAACAAAGATAATAATATTAGTTACTACATAAATGATCAAACAATATTATACACACTAAAAATAACTGATGGGTTTTTCCACATTATCGGATTATTCGAATATTCGTGACGACTATCCGGACTCCGATCTCCATCATCAGTCCTCATTCGGTAATAATCGGCTCTATCAGTTTCTGTCACGTGATAGTGTCTGATGTGTAATATTGTGATTTGTGAATTACATTAATATGTTATTCATGATTCGTATGAAAGTTCTTACGACACGACTTAGGTACTATTTTCTTATTTAATATTTATTTTGTATTCGTTACTATTCGTGTTCTATGCACTT